GTACTTCTTAAATTATAAGAAGATTCCTTATTGTGTATTTTCCCATCTGTGTGGAACAGAGGAAATATATATACTATAAACTTGCATGTGGGTGTGCATACATACAATGAATGATCTGTAAGGATACATCATAAGCTTTCTCTGGGAGAAAGTTTCTCTGGGAGAAGGTGGGTAACTAGGGGTCACAGTTAGAAGAATGTTCCTGATGTATCTGTTTGAACACATAAATGTTTAATTTTAGATCACATAAAGTTTCATCTATTCAAATATAACTTTAGGGCATTCTATAATTTTTTGACTAATGCTAACCTCCACACCTTTCCCTAAATATTTTTCCTGCATGGTTCAAATCAATGACTGACAGTTGAACTAAGTAGTGCCTTCTGGGTATGTCTCTAAGGTGGTCTGTAAGTAATACTTGAAAATAAAACTTCGAAGTGACAGCCAATTCCTCAGCTTCTATAAAGCGTCAATGTCCCACCCCAAGCCCACCTCACCAGCCCCATTTCAAGAAGTCTAAATTAGACGTGGCTTGGTGTTCTGACTACTGAATATTAACTCACTGGCTTATTTCACAATAAAATGATTATTTTGCTTCCACTTCCTATTCAGTGCTACTCTTCTTGGGCTCTCCTGCTCAGCAGAGTGACTTGGGAGAGCCAAATTTATTTGCATTCAAATTTGGACTCTGCCCTTTATCAGGCGCATATCCTCAGGCTTTATAGATCTACTGTATCTCAGTTCCCTCATCTGCATTCAATCATCTCTAAAAAAAGTAAAAAAGTAAGTCATCTCTATTCCACTGGCTCTTTGTAAGGATTAAATGCGTTAATATACGTAAAAGGGTACCTGACAGAAAAAACTCAAATTATCCTGTTGATAGCTATCATAATACCAACAGCTACGTTTTAAGTCTGTTTTAAAGCCTCTACAAACCCATAAAGATACATACAATTCTGTATTTTGCTATGCAAATTTTAAACAACTGTGCTTCTGTTTTAATTTTTTTTAAAAGATTTTATTTATTTATTTGACACAGAGAGTAAGAGAAGGAGCACCAGAGGAAAAGGGAGAAGCAGACTCCCCACTGAGCAGGGAGCATGATGCTAGGCTCAATTCCAGGACCCTGAAATTATGACCGGAGCTGAAGACAAACGCTTAACCAACTGAGCCACCCAGGCACCCCTGTGCTTCTATTTTCAATAAATTTTTATTTAGGGGAGGGAACTATGTGCGCTCAAAATACCAAATTACTTTCAGTAATTACTTTGGTTTAGCTTCTCATAAGAAGGAAAGTACAGTTGGAATTCCTGTATTAGGATTAGTAGAGAATTCATCATGGGCCCCAGAGCAGGCTAGGTTGTCTCTAGGTTGCAACTTTTAGTGTTGTGTTGGTTTTTTTTTTTCCTCTAAATATGCTACATAGACACATTTCAGAAGAAATAACCTAATTAACATGTTTAAATAATCTAATTTCATCAAAATGAAATAATATATACCAATAAGGGATATAACATTTGGGGTTTGTGCTTTTACCAAACATATGATATCCTAATGGTATGTTAATAACAGTTCTCTTCCTAATGGTATGTTGTTAACGGTTCTCTTTATCCTGAAAACTGGTTATAAAATGATTGAGTTGTTATATTTTGGTATTGTAAAACCAGGAAACTTACAAACAAGCATACTCAATGAATAATAAATTCTGTTCAAAATTACAGGCATTTTTAAGGTAAAATGTATCAATTTAGTTTACAGTTTAGTTCTTATTAGTACATGAGGTAAAGGAGGATTTAAGTTGATGAGACATTTATCAGGAAGAAAAAAAAAAAAAAAACCAAACCCAAACTAAGAAGTGAACTGCTCTTACTTACATCTGACATTTATTAAGGAAAAAACATCCTGAGGGACCAGGGCCATCTTAATCTGCCAGCGAAATCAGAGAGATGAAATACAGTATAATAAAAATAAAAATTTTCTCTTCCATAAAACCAAAGTCTAGAGATGCTACTAAACTTACTGCAAATATAAAGGCTGCCAGACCAATCTTGTACATAAATGCCTTCCAAATTTCCATTTCAGGCACAGGGATGAGGGATTTAGGGGAGACAATCTTTGAATCAACATTTTACCTTCAATTCTTTGCTTCACTGACTTCTGACAGTTTGGCAAATTGGGGGTCATCACATTTAAAAGAAATGCCAAAGCTTGACAAATGCAATCTAAGATAATATAAATTCTAAATGCCTGTGCAATTTTCTGTAGTTTCTAGCATTCTACCTCAAAAAGTTATCAGATTTAAAACTTAAGTCATTTCCTTTAGATGGTGTAATTTTAGCAAAAAGCATTCTCCAAATTAAGGGACAATTAAGATAACACTAAAATCATATACCCAAAATTCAAGTGTTATGCCATTTTGTTATTCTGGGTTATTTGGTGTGTGGGTAGGATGTATGCATGCAGAGATTAACTTTGTTTTTGAAGAAAATCTGAAAAATTTCCGGTCTAATCCTATCTCAGTTTCTTCAGTACATATTCAGGAATCTCCCTCATTAGAATTGAATATTATTGGCCACCAAGATGGTCAACTTAAAAATAGGTCTCCATCCCTCATTTTCCCAACTGCCGTAGTCTTAAAAATGTGCCACCTTACACAGTTTGGGGCCTACTACTTACAGCTGATTGGAGGTCCATTCTCAGCTGGGACTAAAAACAGCGTGTGTTCACCTTTGAGCTCCTGAGGTCAGCAAGTAGGAGTCATGGGCCCCGGACTGCTCTTCTCACTCTCCAACATTACTTTCACAATTACTTTATCACGGAAGCTATTTCCCTTGAAAAGATCAAGATTTATATCCTTACATGTTCAAATGCTATATATGCATCATCCCGTCAAGTCTTAAAGTAGAATCATTAATTCAGAAAAACACAAAACCAAGAAACCTGAACAGATATTCTCTTATTTTGAAAAAAATAGGCCCAAATTCTCTGGTTTTAAAATTCAAACTGGACTCTAATTTAAAAGGAGAAAAAAAAAACAAAAACAGAGCAGTGATAGCATACATTTTCACAGAAATACTCAAATTCTTAGATAATGCCATATGTCTTTATGTCAAATTTTGTTAAACTTTACAATATTAGTACAGAACAAAAATGGAAAGAAAAGACAGAAACGTAAGCCTTCTATTATTATTTAAGAACTGGCATGACTTCAATCAAAATCAGATTAGAAAACTCAATGAAATATCAGGAATTGGTTTCTTTTAAGGAATCTTTAAAAAATCTACCATTTAGAATAACTTGTGCATACCAACTATAACATTTTTTTCTAAATGAGTTAATTACTCTCATGTAGCTATGTGAAGTTTTTCAGAGTAATTTTACTGGGAGGAAATTGCATATAACTTGGTACCTTCCCATATGACAGTGACATGGGACAAATGACAAGTGGGAACTAGACATTAGAAGTATGGAGTGAAGTATAATGGGTCAAAAACAGTTTAAAAAAAAAAAGAAAGGGTAAAGAATTTGAAACCATAAGACACACACCAAAACTGTGTGTGTTACATGTATATATGTATGTACATAATAATTTTGTATCTTCAAAAATAAAACTGGAATGTTATTTCACTTAAAATGTTCAACATTCAAAATGCTCTGTAAAGGTAAAAAATAAAAAAGTACACTGATGTAAATTTTCATAATTTTCCAAGAAATGACATTCCTGGATCAACCCCTTTAACCAAATGTTTATTTTTTGTTTCCAGGATTACAATTTGCTGTGATTCATAAACCTCAATCTGAGTAGGTTTTTAGACACTGACCTCATACAGTTAGATCCTTAGGTCAAACACTCACTTATCCAGCAAAAGAAATCACCCAGCCATCACTCTTGCCTGGACAATTCTCTCCGCTACGTGAACAATTTAAAGTGCATAGGAGTTCGGTTTTTTTTGTTGTTGTTTTGCTTTTTTTTTTTTTTTAAAGATTTTATTTGTTTATTTGACAGAGAAAGAGATCACAAGTAGGCAGAGAAGCAGGTGGGGAGGGCGGGAAGCAGGCCCCCTGCTGAGCAGAGAGCCCGATGCGGGCCTTGATCCCTGGACCCTGGATCATGACCTGAGCTGAAGGCAGAGGCTTAACCCACTGAGCCACCGAAGCGCCCCAAGTAATTTTGATGAATGGAGACACAGCTATAGTTTTGCACTAAATTTCCATTACTGAATTGTATGCTTTTTCACCATGATACCTGATGATCACTAGAAAGCTACTTAAGTACATAATGTTTTAGCCATATATTATGTTAAATGCCCATTTATAACTGCAAAAAACTCATATTACAGACATACTATTGACTATGACATTATACAAAATCATGGCCACAAGTTTCTGCATAAGAAGAGATTTACTTCTCTTTCTCTTAAAGCAAGAAATACCCCATGGTTCAGATTTACATGAGTAGTGCCTTTTTAAATAAATTAAAAATAAAATGCTGTCCTGTCTGCAAAATTATAAATATTTCTAGTCCATTTTACAGAATGTTAAAATGCTTATAAATGCATTACCTCCTAGTAAATACACATTATGGCACCGAAGCCAGTGAAAAAAATGAAAACAAACAAACAAAAACAGCCATCAAACTGGCCTATGGAAACATCTAGGGTTATTTTGGATCTCCTACACTGGTTAAACTAAAGAAAGAAAAAAGGTTAAGGAGAGATAGAAATTTTACAAAATGGCAACTACTATAGCCTAAAAGAGTGGACTGACATATCTTCCTTCAATTCAGTAACTAAGCCATTTCTGGAATGAACATTTGTAGTAATTCAGTTAGGAAAGTGTTCCTCTTAGTGCTCAGGGCAGAATTATGTAAAAATAATTCCCACATTCTATAAGAAAAAAAAACAGAGTGACTGTTTAAAAACCAAGATTTAGCCAGGATGTTCAAGACTGATGGGTTTTGATGGAGTGAAATCTTCAGTGGTCATAAAATTAAAAAATTGTAATCCTATGGATGTTGCTTATTTTTACCAATGTGAAGAAAGGAAACATGATTGCAAGGTACAATACACCCTGATGGGGTAAAATGAAAAATTATGAACAATTTAGATAACTAAAATGTTCTCTACTGAAACATAAAAACAAGATTTCCAAAGTGATTCAACTTGTAATATGTCTCTCAAAAACATGAAGTAGTATTAGTTCTGTAGACTGCTGAACTGCCCTTCACATTAAGTATTTCCTCCATCTTAAAAAAACAGCTTCTGAGTAGCATGGACTCTTCTGATGTGGGAGAGCAGGCTTGCCAAACTTGTTTCCAAGGCTTCCTTCCAAGGTGATTCATTCCATCAAATCTATAATATCTCCAAATCCACATGTCGCACTTCAGGATTTCGTTTCTGGAAGGAAAAATCACCACTACATTATTCATAACAAAAGAGAATTTTACTTCCTTTTATTCCTTTAGATCACGAAAGCCACTGAAACCATATGGTCAAACAATTTCATGGTGGTATGTTAGCAAGATAAAAATCAATAGAGGAGTATTACACACTATTAACAATATGGTAAACAGCCCTACCTCCCTGAGTTTGTTCATATGTTCATTAATACAAGAATGGATTAAAAATCTCATATGTGCTAAACATTGCAAAACTTCCGCAATATACTCATTTGGGGTAAAAAGAAAAATCACTGGAAGACAATAATAATAATCAGAAGAAATAATCAGAAAGAAAAAAAAATTCACTTATTCTATATATGTTAGCAATAAGCCATATAGTTTTGGGCCACGCACTGTGCTAGAAAGTGGAGCTATGATCATTAAATAAGCCTGTTCCTGACCTTGGGAGACTCAGTTTAGCCAGGGAGCCAAGTATATCAATAACCATCTACGAGTCAGCGCATTAGCATTAACAATAATGACAGTTAACACAGAGGGGCAGTTACTTTTGTTTGGCCAAGTACTGTGCTAAGGAAAGGGGCTTCACATGCATGTGTGTGTTCTAAAGCCCTCTACTAACTCAATCGTTTCCATTTCCATGTGGGAAAACAGAAGTCTGAAGAAATTAACTAGCCTGCCCAAACTTAAGGAGCTGCAAGTGAGTGACGAAGCCAGGAGAGATTCCAGACTCCAAGCTCCTAAGCATTACAATGTACTATAATGCTAACTCTGGGAACAAAAATGTCAGGTCTGTTACTTTAACTCATGAGGTCCAGGAAGACTTCACTAAGGATGTAATATCTAAACAAGGCTTGGAAGTAGTGAGTTTCCCAGAGAGATGATGAAGAGGACCAGACAGCAAAGTCAGGAAGCCCGAGAAGTATGCACTGGCAGCATGGTACAGTTAGCCACAGAAGTTGCAGCGAGGAGCGCCTGGGTGGCTCAGTGGGTTAAAGCCTCTGCCTTTGGCTCAGGTCACGATCCCAGGGTCTTGGGATCGAGCCTGGCATTGGGCTCTCTGCTCAGCAGGGAGCCTGCCTCCCCATCTCTCTCTCTGTCTGCCTCTCTGCCTACTTGTGATCTCTGTCAAATAAATAAATAAAATCTTCAAAAAAAAAAAAAGAAGTTGCAGAGAGGGTAGGATCAGTAAGGAGGCGGGAAAGGCACGCAGAAACCAACTTGTGAAAAATCTTAAATGCTAGCTTAAGGACTTCAATTCACTAACAACAGAAAATATCTTTATTACGGGCCTACTCTGTGCCAGGCACTGAAGTATGTAACAATGAACAGGAAACAAACGGTACTTGTCTGGTGAGGATATGCAGGTAGGTAAGCAGGCAATTTTAACAGACTGCTACTTGAAGAGCAAGGCAGAAAAAATAAAGAGCAAGGTAAAGGTCTTGGGATTTTACGAGTACAAAAAGGAAGGACACCTAACTCAATCTGTGGGGTAATTAAAAATGTAGTAAGATGTAACAGAATGACATTGTGAAAAGGGAGAGCAGAGAGAACGTAAAAAACTAATTATATAACTTACATCTATCAAAGAGGAAACAAATAATGTTTAAATCATGAGGAGTTTAAGACTTTCATATAGAAATATGGTACAAAATATAAAAAATATTAGACATGGTTCTCTCTGAGCCGAAGGATTGAGGATGGTGAGGCAGGTGACACTTACTTCTGTTTATAAGCTTTTCAGTTGTTTGACTTTATAAACTTTGTGTGTTATTTGATGAAAATTATAAAAATAGGGGTGCCTGACTGGCTCAGTTGGGAGAGCGTGTGACTCTTGATCTGGGGGTCTTGAATTCAAGCCCCACATTAGATGGAGAGATTACTTAAATAAATAAATAAATATTAAATAAATGGATAGATAAATCAACATGGGAGGAAAAACTCTTCTAAGGGATTCTGATAATCAATCAGGATTAGTAATTCCTAACTTAAAAAAAAAATAATATCCTAGGAACATTTGCATATTCCCTATATTAAAGGAATTTGAGTATAAAGACAAAAATCTGATGTAATACTGGAATTGAGCTCCAGTTAGAGCATTCTACTGAGTGTGCACTGAGATTTTTCTTATAACTAGTTTTGTTCAACTATACTTGAGGGTTCTTTCCTCTTGGATCTTAATGCAAGAATGGCCAGGCTCCCCGCAGATATAGGTGTACCCTTTTGTTCTCAATGCTCTCTTTACCTTAAACTATTTGCTCTATCTAGAATTCCCTAAACTCATTAAAGAACAAAAAAGATTTCCTCAAACAGAAATGAAACTCAATTTTATTTTCCCTTCCCAGTCCTCCCTAACCATCCCAGTCCATCCCCTTCCCAGTCCTCCCTAACCATCCCTTGAAAAAGTTAGCTATTAATGGAAATTTTGAAAATATTCTATCTAAAAAAACACTATGTAACAAATGTGTACCAATAAAAATTTAATCTCAAGACAAAGTAAAAAGCTGATGTAGTCTGTTTTAAAATCAAGTTTTTAGAGAGAAAACTATCAAATTCCTAAAATTTAATGTGCCAAATACAAAGAAGAAACACACAATATATCTGCTGAATGAATGAAAAAAAATAGAATATCCTTAAATTTTAATATTTAGTGACTAAAAAGAGATCATGTGCATAGCAGAAACTGAATAAATTTTGTTAAACAGAAATGAAAATTAATAAGTGGTGTTCAACATACAATTTTCATTCATTTTTTCAATACTTAAATTTTTAAAAAGATTTATTTATTTATTTGAGAGAGAGAGCACGAGCAGGAGGGGCAGAGGGAAAGGAGAGAGAATCTCTCCATCTCACATCAAAGCGTGATGTGAGGCTCGATCCCACGTCCCCGAGATCATGATCTGAGCCACCAAAAGTCAGATGCCCAATGGACTGTGCTACCCAGGCGTCCCTCAACAAATATTTATTGATTTATTATGTCCTAGCCAATATCCAACTTGAACATTTTACATACCACAAATTTATTTCAAAACTCGCTATGGAGAGATGAAAACCACATTGTGTAATTTATTTTGCAATGCTGCAGACTCAAGAAAATGCTATAGGAGCATGCAATTCAAGAAGCAAAAGATGGACTAAAGAGCAGAACATTTAACTGGAATACTACTTATTAGGAATTTGCAAATACTATGGCATCTTCCCACTAAATTAATTCCCAACAGAATCGTTGCCTCCCAAACACAAAAAACTTCATGGAGGGATAGGAGAAGGATCTAGCCACAGATTGACACAGAGGTAGAACAAAAAAAATTTAAATGAGCAGTTCAAAGAACTTCAAAATAAAAACAAAATATATTTCGTATTTATAATATGGGACTTTAGAAATTAGCTTCTATTATTTTTCATGTTTTTATATAGAACTACCCAAGCTATAGATTTTATGCCAAAAATACCATCCATTCTAATAATGAGATCGATGGCATTACTCAAAAGAGATGGCCATACTGCTAAATTTTATCACTGAGGGTGATCTTCCAAAATAATTGAATTATTATTAAATTTAAACCTAGAAGGCAACCAAGCTTAGATACTAAAAAGAAAGAAATATGCCAAAGTTTTAGTTTTCAAAAGAAAATCAGCTATTTTTCCTAACAAGAAACAAGAATTAAATTCATGCACTCTGTTGGTTTGGTGCCTCAACTATGAAGAACTTTCCTTTAAGATAAATTAGGGAGACCTGGGTGGCTTAGTTGGTTAAGCATGTGCCTTCAGCTCAGGTCATGATCCCAAGGTCCTGGGATCGAGCCCCACATCAGGCTCCCTGCTCAGTGGAGAGCCTGCTTTTCCCTCTATCCCTCTCCCCACTGCTCATGCTCTCTCTCTCTTGCCCTCTCTCTCACTCTCTGACAAATAAATAATATCTTTTTATTTTTATTTATTTATTTTTTCGACAGACAGAGATCACAAGTAGGCAGAGAGGCAGGCAGGCAGAGAGAAGGAAACAGGCTCCCCGCCAAGCAGAGAGCCCGATGAGAGGCTCGATCCCACATGACCTGAGCTGAAGACAGAGGCTTTAACCCACTGAGCCACCCAGGCGCCCCAAATAATATCTTTTTTAAAAAAGATAAATTATACCTTATTACCTTAGTCAGAGAGGTTTTCAATTTAAAGGTATAAGTTAACTTTGTTTCCTGGTTTGAGAGACTTATATTTCAAAAACACGTACAGATTAGTTTAGTCTCTTAAAGATTTAATAGTTTCTAATTAAAGCACACAGTTAGCTAGACAAAAATAATAAATTTACCTGATTGTGATAAAAGTAAATACAAGAATGACCAATTTGTTAACTCAAACCTGGTTTCTGACTTATTGTTCCTATTAAAGAGTAAAGATAAAATAAAGATTTAGTCGAAAAGTCCATTATTTTATCCATGTCAGGGAAATAAAAACAAACAGAATGGGAAAAGCAAAGATTATTTATTCTCATGTCACCCTGCACAAAAATAATCACCTGGTATTATATTTAGAAAAGTGATTTTTCAAAGTATGGTCCAAAGATCCTGAAACCTTTTCTTTCTTTTAAAGATGTTTGTTTGTTTGCTTGTTTTATTGAGAGTGTGTGCATGCACGAGCAGGGGGAAGGGCAGAGGGCGAGGGAGAAGGAATCTCAGGCAGACTCCACGCTGAGTGCAGAGCCTGGATGCTGACTGGGACCCGGAGCTCAATCTCACCACCCTGAGCAGAAATCAAGAGTTGGTCGCTTAACCAACTGAGCCACTGAGGAGCCCCTGAAACTTTGTCAAGGGGGATTCCAAGGTAAAAACTGCTTTCATAATAACCACTGATGTTATTTGCCTTTACTATGCTGATATTGAGAACCTGGGTGGCTCAGTTCGTTGAGCAACTGCCTTCGGCTCAGGTCATGATCCTGGACGTCCAGGATCGAGTCCCACATCGGGCTCCCAGCACCCTGGGCAGTCTGCTTCTCCCTCTGACCTTCTCCTCTCTCATGCTCTCTCTCACTCATTCTCCTTCAAATAAACAATAATAAACTATGATGGTATTTCCTCTGATGACATATCAAAGCAATGGCAGATAAATCTAATGGCATCTTTGCACAATTTAAGGCAACTGGCACCAAACCAGACAGACAGTCACTGTGCTTCTTTATTGTCAGACACGTAATTAAAAAAAAAAAAAAAAAAAAGCCAGTTTCACTTTAGAATGTCCTTCATGATCAGGGTGCCTGGGTGGCTCAGTTGGTTAAGCATCTGACTCTTGATTTTGGCTCAGGTCATGATCTCAGGGTCCTGGGACTGAGCTCCCAGTCGGACTCCGCACTCAGCACAGAGTCTGCTTGGGATTCCTTCTCCCTCTCTCCCTTTGCCCCTCCCCTCACTCACATTCTCTTTCTCTCTAAAATAAATAGTACCTAAAAAACAAAATGTCCTTAATGAAAAAGTAAATAAAATGCCCTTCATGAAGTAGTAAAAACATTGGTTTATTAAACCTCAACTCTTGAGTATACTTTTTAAAATGGTCTGTGAAGCATCGCCTGGATGGCCCAGTTGGTTGAGCCACCAACGTGGTTTCAGCTTGGGTGGAGAGGCTCAGGTGGTGACTCTGGGGTTGAGAGATCTGCCTTTTGTGGGCCCTGCATTCAGCACAGTCTGCTTGAGATTCTTTCTCTCTCCCTCCCCTTCTGCTCCTCCCCACACTTGCACTCACTCATGCACTCTTGTTCTCAAACAAATAAATGCAATCTTTAAAAAATAAGTAAGATATTCCATGACAAAATAGAAAGTGTTTCCAAAGCCCCTCTGCTTCTGAAGTGTCACAAGGAAAAGCGCTTCTGTATTGCTTGAATTACGGGTTGAGTGAGATGCTTTTTAATCTAAACACCGTTTAGGGGCTCCTGGGTGATTCAGTTGGTGGAGTATGTAACTCCTGATTTCAGGGTTTAAGAGTTCAAGCCCCACACCGAACATGGAGCCTACTTTAAAAAAAAAAAAAAAAGTGAGAAAAAAAAAAAAAAGGTGAGCTTATCTAAAACCCAGTTTTACTTGAAAGAAAAACTAACAAACTATGGGTATTCAAATTTGGGTATTTGGCAGAGATCTTCTTTAAAAGTGAACAAAATAAATCTGTTACTTCAAGGAAAACAATAATATTTGTTGCTAATGGTAAAATGCAAGGTTTCTAATGAAAATCAGAATACTGAAAAACTTCTATCTTACCACTACGACCCCGACAGCTTCCCAATACTTAGAAATGTATCACCATTTGAAAGATATGCATAAATTCAGTGAATCAGTATTTCTAACTGGCCAATTCATAACATTCCAGAATCATGCATGGGTTAAAAGATTCAAAGTACAGAGACAGACTAATGGATTTTAAAGTAATAGTGTATAGCAGATAATTAATCATACCTAGAGAGAATTCTGGCTTTGGCCCTTGGCTATGGGAGGTGATCTCTAGGCCCTTGGAATGTCCTGATTAATTCTGTCTTTATCTTTGGCCACAGAGTATATGTTCTATATCCACAAGGGACTGGAGACAAAAAGTGTGGGCTTTTCCTTGGAGTGGCTAGAGATGAAAGGTTGACCAGCCAAGCAGTCAACAAAGGAGCCCCAATAAAATCTCTGGACCCCAAGGCTCAGTTAAGCTTCCCTGGTTGACAATACTCTGTGCAAATTGTCACACATCATTGTCAGAAAATAACACTGTCCATGACTCCATGGGGAGAGGACAACTGAAACTCTGTGTTTAGAACGCTGTCTTATGTATCTCTTCCCTTGGCTAGTTTTAATCTGTGTCCTTTCACTGTAATAAATCATAACCATGAGTCTAAAGGCATTCAGTGGGGGTGTCTGGGTGGTGCAGTCAGTTAGGCACTCGATTCTTGTTTCAGTTCAGGTCATGACCTGAGGGTGTTGAGATCAAGCCTTGAGTTGGGCTCCCCACTCAGTGTAGAGTCTGCTTGGGATTCTCTCTCCCTCTCCTGGCCATGCTCTCTCTCCTTCTCTCAAATAAATAATCTTAAAAAAAAAAAAAAGGCATTCAGTAAGTTTTGTGTCCTTTTCATGAATTATCAAACCTGAGGGTGATATGAGGAACCCCTTGAAATTTGCAACTGGTGTCAGAAATTAGGGTAATCCTGTGGACTGTGCCCCCTAACTTCACAAACAGTACGTGAAAAGTTCTCTGATACAGTTTCAGATTCCACATTGTAACTAAGCTTCAAGAGGCTAAGAGTTGTCAGGTATTGGTATCATATCCAAAAAGAATATCACAATTATCTGAAAACACATTAAGAATACTTTTAAAGATTCTTCCCTTTTCCCTTTTCTTCTTATTCTTCAACCATAACAATGTACGTCAACAGAATGAATACAGAAGCAGATATGGGGAATCTAGCTGTCTTAGATTTTTTTTTTTTAAAAATGTGAAACAATAACACTCTTCTCACTATTTTTTTCATTTTGGAAAATATAGTTACTTTTCATTAAAATGTTATTTATATTAGCATGTAATAGTTTATTATAGTTTTTTTTTAAGATTTATTTATTTGACAGAGATCACAAGTAGGCAGAGAGAGAGGAGGAAACAGGCTCCCTGCTGAGCAGAGAGCCGGATGTGGGGCTGGATCCCAGGACCCTGGGATTATGACCTGAGCTAAAGGCAGAGGCGTTAACCCACTAAGCCACACAGGCGCCCCAGTTTATTATGGTTTTTTAAATGAATATTTTTAGAGCTCTCAATTTTAATTTATGATTTAATAAATATCAATAAATATTAATTCAAATCAATAAAAGCTCTTTGGGTCCTGAATGATTTTTAAGAATATAAAGAATCTTAAAGATGAAAATATTTGAGAACTGCTCATCTACAAACTTGAAAATCATGTTGTGAACTATAATATTAACATAAACACAATCATATTATTTGAAGTGCTTCTATTACTCTGGTAACTAGAGCTAAAAGAAAAAACAGTAAGTAGTGACAGAAATGATGCCTTTCAATTTTTATTATTTGCCTTCAGTGTTTAACAAAACTGAAGAATGGTCAACAGCAGCTGAAGAAAATGCACTGCCTTCAACAAGCTATGTATGTTAAAGATCATTTATAAGTTTTATTTTTCCAATAACTTGAACTCAAGAGTCAATAAATGACAATTTGAGAATACTGAGATTTTTAAAGATAGTCTTATCAGGTAATATTTCAGTAAAAAACCAATAGGTTGTAATGATCTCCAACTGAACAGAAGCAAAAAGAAAATATAAAATAATGACAGATGGAGTAAAAGGAAGATTGTGGATATTCAAGGTCACATTCTGTTTTTTTAAACTTTTGAAGAGAATCTAGTTTCCATTTCACCTTTCTCTAGAAACTTTCAAAATGCTTTTTATTTCAGAACAAACACAAAACCTTTAGCTACTTTAGAAACTAAGCAGGCACTATCAAATAGTGGTTGAAAGTACAGAATCTGGAACTGACCAACAAATGCCCAATTCCCTACTTCCTTGAGTAAATTACCCAACTTCTTTGAACCCAGTGATTTTTCTTGTTCACAACCACCAGTCACAAACCATGAGGTTACTGAGAGAAGTACACATATGATACAATGAACACAGTGTTCTGACACAGAGTAAGTACTTAAGAGTCAGCATTATGATTATTATGATTACATCTTACTTTTAGTTCTTTCTCAAGTCTATCTACTTCAGCTCCTAAAGTATCAATAATGTTTTCTCCATGTTTAAGCATAAAGGTCTCTAGTTCTTCAGGAGTTTTCACTTCTTGAATTTCCTATAAAGAAAACAACAGGAAAACAAAATAACTTTTTAAAAAATCGTATTAGTATACCGATGAGTTCTTTAAAAAATTGTAACAAACATCATTAAATTTAGCAAAAAACTTTCACGCTGAAGGTGATGAACCACCTAGTTCCAAAAAAATTTAATTCAACAAAAAATTAAGTATAATGCTTCACAAAGATAACATTACAAAATTAGTGGGAAAAGAACAGACTATTCTTCAATAAACAGTGCAAGGGCAATTCTTTTTCTATAGGAAAAAAAGATTAAACCTCTACCTCAGATCATTAAACAAAAAAATAATTCTACGCAAATTCGAAAACTAAGGGTAGAAAACAAACCACAAAACATTTAGAAGAAAAAAGAATATTTTTATGATATTAGAATAAGGAAGTATTTCTCAAGCAAGATAATTAAAAGCCTAAAGAAAAAGATTATAAATTTAAAAAACACACTAAACCCTCTGTCCAATAACAAAGTGAAATGGTTAATCACACAGTAAAAGATATTTGCATTTCACGGGGCGCCTAGGTGGCTCAGTGGGTTAAAGCCTCTGCCTTTGGCTCAGGTCATGATCTTAGGGTCCTGGGATCCAGCCCCGCATTGGGCTTTCTCATCAGCAGGGAGCCTGCTTCCTCCTCTCTCTCTGTCTGCCTCTCTGCCTACTTGTGATCTCTCTCTCTGTCAAATAAATAAATAAAATCTTTAAAAAACAAAAAAAGATATTTGCATTTCACAACCGAGGAAGGATCAGTGTCCAGCATATTAAAAATAAAATGTTTATTAATTTGTCAGAATAAGAAATTAACTAAAAAAACAAGCAGTATAGGAAATCCCAATGGTCAATAAATTTAAATGTTTACTAACCTCACTATTACTACTTGGGGGGGGACAGAAATTATAATTACATATAAATCACCAGTTTCATATCTATCATAATGACAAAAATTTAAAACTGTCAATATAATACCATCTAGTAAGAATGTGAAACAATTGAAACTTTGATGTACTGATGGTGGAAATTAAATTGACACAATTTGGAGCATAATCTGCCATCTAGGGAAGATGAAAGTAAGTTTGTTTTGTTTTTAAGTAAGCACACCCAGCATGGAGCCCAACATGAGATGAAGACCCGAGCCAAAATCAAGAGCTGACATTTAACCAACTGAGTGGCCCAGATGCGCCAAGTCTAGCCCAACCATTTTAAATCTAGCTGTACAGTACCCTAAAGAAATTCTTACACGTCTGAACAAGAAAACATAAGAGAATGCCATTGTGGACATAAATATGCATCAAATGGAGACTGGATAAATAAACTGCACAATATTCACAGAATATTATATAGCAATTAAAATAAATGAACTAGATGTGTGTGTGTGTGTGTGTATACACATATATAATAATATGTAGGAATTTCAAAACCATGCTGAGTTATGTTTTCTTTTTTTTTTAAGATTTAGTTATTTGACATAGAGAGATACAATGAGCAAGGGAACACAAGCAGGGGGAGTGGGAGGGAGAAGGAGGCTTCCTGACCAGCAGGGAGCCAGACGCAGGGCTCGATCCCAGGACACTGGGGATCATGACCTGAGCCAAAGGCAGAGGCTTAAAGACTGAGCCATCCAGGCACGCCTCAAAACCATGCTGTTAAGCAAACTATAGAGGAAATCAGATGGTATGATACCATTTATATCAATTTTGAAATATTCAAAATGTTACTATATACTTATAGTGCTAACAAAAATCTGTTGAAAAGGATAAAAACTGAATGGAAATGACTACTAAATTCAAGACAATTTTTAGTTCTAGGGATGGAGGAAGAAGAATAGGATCTAGAAGGAGAAAACAAGGTCTTCACCAGTTTTTGTAACAATTCATTTCTTTTTTGAAGATCCTAAGCAAATACAGTAGAATAAAATGTTGAGATTTGATAAAGGCAAGTGGTAATACATAGTGAACTTTGCACTGTTCATTATATTATCCTCTCAATTCTCTTTTAAATTTAATTCTTAATGTAAAAGCATGGGTTGTAGAATCACAGAGCTCTACATTCACATCTGACTCCATATTATGGCTCTGCAATTTTAGACAAGTTACTTAATCCTTCTGTGTCTTAATTTGCCTACATATAAAACTGAGTATTATTTCTTTACCTCACAGAGTTGTTGAAAGTATACTAGAGAACACATATAAAACGCCTAGCCCATGACAAGCACTTGAATAGTACTTTGCTCCGCTGCTTTCTCCTTCGACCCACTCTAGAACAAATAAAACAGCTGTCAGATTTTGGAACCCTAAGAAGTTGAAAGCGGAAGTAACTTTAAGACCTGTAAAAGTTTTATTTACTTAAAAAGTAATTTTTCTAACCTTTGACAAGAAAACAATAAATACATAAACTTACCTGTAGCATTTGGTCAAAATCTTGTTTTTCCAAATACGATCTTGTAACAACTCGTCCATCAAAATCTACTTCTGCCTTAAATCTTACTTTCCCTAATCCCAGATCTGTGGCTTTAACATCATGAATTGCCCTGCAATGAATAACAATGCATACAAATTTATATATGCACACATACATTTTAATGGCACAAAGTACAGAATTCTTATTTTTTTCCATCAGTGATAAAAATGGACCAGATGGCTTTCAGAATATTCACCATTAAGTGCCATCTCTAAATTCCCAAACGTCCACTTAGCTCTTTTTGTGTAATGCCATACAAAGACGCAAACTTAAAAAATATTATTCTATGGCCTGTATTTACATGAATTACATAGTTTGTGGATTAAAAAAATCAACTCTAAATTGCTTTTCTACAATGTTGTAATTTTGTCTCATAATTCCTTTTCTTAAAAGCTTCTTTAGAAGTCTTCATACAATAGTGAAGTACTCTATTAGAATGAGGTTAGTAATGACTACCTAATTGGATCTGATATGGGGCATAATGAGCCAACACATACACACAATGTTTAATATGGTAGCAACTACATGGCAGGCATTTAATGAATGGAATTCAGGGAAGTAGATAAATTTACCTTACAGATTATAAAACAGTCCTAGAGGGGCCTAAGTGACTTGCCTAAGGTAATTTAGCTAGTTAACAGCAGAGGCAGGACTCACCTCCAGATCTTCAGACACCCAAACCCGGTGCTCCATTACACTACTATGTCTCCCAGAAATGTTCTAGTATTGTAACTACTTTTCATCCTTTTTGCCCTAGCTCTCAGTAATGAATCTTCCTTAGAAAACTGTTGAGAAATTCTTTTCTTTCTATGATAACCACTGTTAACATCTTTTCTTTATGGGATATATAAAATAACAAAACACTCTGAATCCTGGGGATATAGAAAGCTATAGGAAAATGTGCCTAAATGAGACTCCAAATACTCAAAACATTTGACCCTAATTTCTGAGTGATCCTGAGCAAATCAGTAAATAGTGAGTCTAAAATTCTTTAGACAGAAATAAAAAAGCATACTTATCAATGATTAAAGTATGAATGATTTAATACTTATAAAGTTATATATAACCAATGAATCAAAACTTGTCCAGATAGGCAAGAAGCTATATAATTTTTTCATTTTTAAAAAGCATATCTACCTCAATCCTAATAAAATATTACAAATTTCATTATTTGACTAATACAGTGTAAAATAATGCTCAGAGGGAAATTCATAACTGTAAAAGCCTATATGTTTTTTATGATTTTATTTATTTATTTGACAGAGAGATCACAAGTAGGCAGAGAGGCAGGCAGAGAGAGAGGAGGAAGCAGGCTCCCTGCTGAGCAGAGAGCCCGATGCGGGGCTCAATCCCAGGACCCTGAGACCATGACCTGAGCTGAAGGCAGAGGCTTACCCCACTGAACCACCCAGGTACCCCTAAAAGCCTATATTTAAAAGATAGATATCAAATGACAAACTTAAAAATATCATCTTAAGAAACTGGAAAACAGAGCAAACAAAACTAAAGCAAGCAGAAGAAAGGAAATAATGTAGATTAGAGCAGAAATTCATGAAATGGAGAAAACAACAGAAAATAAAATTAAAAGCTGGTTCTCTGGAAAGGTCAACAAAATTGACAAGCCTTTAGCTAGACTGGCCAAGAAAAAAAGGAAGACCCAAATTACTATTAGAGTCAAAAATGAAAGAGAAGGGGCGCCTGGGTGGCTCAGTGGGTTAAGCCTCTGCCTTCGGGGCTCAGGTTATGATCTCAGGGACCTAGGATCGAGCCCCGTGTCGGGCTCTCTGCTCAGTGGGGAGCCTGCTTCCCCCTTCTCTCTCTGTCTGCCTCTCTGCCTACTTATGATCTCTGTCAAATAAATAAATAAAATCGTTAAAATAAAAAAAATGAAAGAGGAGACATTACTACCAACCCTAAGAAATAAAAAGCTTACAAAGGAAAATTATGAATGGATGTATGCCAAAAATTAGATAATTAAGAACTCATGCACAAATTCCTAGAAAGACACTAACTACTGAAACTGACTTGAGAAGAAAACAGACAATCTGATCGGACCTGTAACAAGTAAACAGGTAGAATAAGTAATCAAAAAACTACCCACATAGAAGAGCCCATGCCCAGATGGTGTCACTGGTGACTAGTACCAAACTTTAAAAGAAGAAATAATACCAACTCTGCATAAACTTTTCTAAAAAAAAAATATTAGAGGAGAGAACACTTCCCAACTCATTCTCTAGGGGTGCCTGGGTGGCTCAGTGGGTTAAAGCCTCTAACTTCGGCTCAGGTCATGATCCCAGGGTCCTGGGATCGAGCCCCACATGGGGCTCTCTGCTTAGTGGGGAACCTGCTTCCTCCTCTCTCTCTCTCTCTCTGCCTGCCTCTCTGCCTACTTGTGATCTGTCAAATAAATAAATAAAATCTTACAACAAACAAACAAACAAAAAACCAACTCATTCTCTAATGTCAGTATTACCTTGATACCAAAATCAAAGATATTATAAGGAAAAGGATATTAACATGGATTAATCAAGTACTAAGCCTAATACTAATTCTAAGAATACTCAACTTCTAGTCTAATCTAGCAAGGTAACTACTTTTCCAGATTAAAAATATAGGGCTTAGAATATAAATCTAATATTATTTTACTCATTTGTTTTACTGATTTGGATATACAGGTCATTCTTCAAAGATTTAGAGATTCTGGTTGTAAGGGATGCCTGGGTGGCTCAAGTCTGTTAGGTGTTCAAGTCATGATCTCATGGTTGTGGGATCAAACCCCGTGTCTGGGCTCTATGCTCAGAGGGGAGTCTGCTTGAGATTCTTTCCTTCTGCCCCTCCCCAATCTGTGTTTTCTCTCTCTCAGATAAACAATCTTAAAAAAAAATCTGGTTATAACACAGAAGAAAAATACATTTTTTTAAAGTTTAACACATATGTAGCTAGTAGAAAATTGGGATTTTAAAGGTTTATTCCCTCCATGTCACTCTGAAACTTGAATTTCCTATAAAGTACTAATTAGAACTCCGATTCTGATTATCTCCTAAGTCTTCAGATCTTCATTTTTTTTTTTAACCCCCAACGTGGGGCTCGAACTTACGACTCTGAGATCGAGAGCTGCATGCTCTACTGACTAAGCCAGCCAGATGTTCCCTCAGTTCTTCATTTTTACATCATTTAAAAGATAAAGATTGTAAGAAAAAACCTGTAAAATGAGCTAAAACAAAACGTCTATGAGTAGAACTTATATTCATTTGGTAATCACCTCCTCGTTGAATAAAAATCTTCTTAAATTTAAGATAGCAATTTGTAATTATAATACAAATACGAGGCAAGAGTAAATACAAAGGTTCCACGTCAGTGGTTCTACATTAAGGAGACAATCGTTTGCAAACTTCTGTTCCCACTACATCATCTAACTGTTCCTTATTTTAAAAGTTAAAGATATACAGAATTTAAAAGAAACAGGGAGTTTCCTAAATGTTTTCACTTATTTTCTTTTAAGGTTACAAGTCTGAAAAGTCATAGATTAAAAAGTTCTATCTAAAAGTTAGGGAGACACAAACTCTTCCGGAAGTATTTAAAAACCAAGCATTTCTACTTCTTAGTATGTTTTGGAAACCTTAGCAGCATCACTGGAATAAGCTGACCTTACTGATGGGTCGTTCTCCAGGAGTTCAGTAAGCCGTTGTACTTGTTCTGGCTGGATGGATCGCCCTAAGAGAGCTTCCGTGTTGGTGTAGATGAGGAATGCTGAGACCATGCCTAATAACGTGCCCACACCCAAAGAACCTAGGCTGTCATACAGAGGATTACCTAAATAAAGCACAGGAGAAGTCAGTAAATTCACATTTTCTATTGTTTCAATCAGCTTTAGTCAGTAAAGAACCAGAATTAGTAAAACAAAGGACCTGAGATACATTCCTAATTCCTTTAATGACTTTCTCCTAATAAGTTTATTATACTACAAAATGGGGATGTTACAATACGCTTCACAATACACAGGAGTATTATGTGGTTTAATTATTCAAGATCTAATTCTTGCATATGGTCATTACATGAGTGAGGCTTCAGAGCATTTTAGAGACATCATATACATACTACTAATATAACAAAATCCATTTCTTTTTAATGTATCAGTAGCACTTTTCCTGTCCCATGCTGACAACACTGTGAGATCAACAGCTGAAAAAAATGACCACTTTTTGTCTCTTATTCTTCTCAAGAGTCTGTGAGAGAATGAAGCCATACAAAAAATGATCTGGATCTCTCTTTTCATTTATCCAAGGATGATACATAGCTAGTAGCATTCCAGATGCAAAGGGGAGAAGTTAATTCATCGCATGCTACAGGTAACAGAGCAGTGGTTCTCAAAGTACAGCTCTTTATCAGCAGCTGCAGCAGCGTCGCTTGAGAACTTGCTAAAAATGAAGTTCTTAGGCCCCACCTAAGACTTTCTGAATCAGAAAGTCCAGAGTTGGGACCAACATTCTTTGTTTTCCCAAGCCCTCCAGGTAATTCTAAACTTTGCCTTACGTTGTTAGGTCTTAATTCTCTCCCAGAACCAATGAGAAGAGTTGATTTATTATCTATGAATGTGCGGGTTAGCATTTACAAAACAGACATCCATAAATATATTTAAAATTTTTATAATAAACTTTAGATACAAGGCTTTTATAATTAAGTCTTTTTATCCCAAAGATCAAATATCAGTACTAAATTTAACTTTTTTTTTTTTACTTTTGTCTTTGTTCAGCCTCTTTATTCTAATTTGTTTTTTTTCTCCCATTCCTTTGTCTGCCTTTTAATTTTTTTTTTATTTTTTATAAAGATATAATATATTTTTATCCCCAGGGGTACAGGTCTGTGAATGGCCAGGTTTACACACTTCACAGCACTCACCATAGCACATACCCTCCCCAATGTCCATAACCCCAACCCCCTCTCCCAACCCTAAATTTAACTCTCTTAACGCCTGATAAAACATACATTTTACTAAAAAAAGAAATAAATTTACATACTAGTTTTACTAACAGTCAGAATGTAACACTGAAAAAGTAAAATGACTAATCTGTGCTAAGGTATTAAAAATGATCCATTTGACTAGAGGGTGTTATGCTGAGCGAAATAAGTCAATCAGAGAAAGACAATTATCATATGATCTCTCAGATATGAGGAATTTGAGAGGCAACATTGGGGGTTTGGCGGGTAGGGAGGGAAAAAAGGAAACAAGATGGGATCCGGAGGGAGACAAACCATAAGAGACTCTTAATCTCACCAAACAAACTGAGGGTTGCCGAAGGGAGGAAGGGAGGGAGAGGGTGGTTGGGTGATGGACGTTGGGGAGGGTATGTGCTATGGTGAGTGCTGTGAAGTGTGTAAACCTGGCGAAGTGTGTAAACCTGGCGATTCACAGACCTGTACCCCTGGGGCTAATAATACATTATATGTTAATAAAAAATAAAAAATTTTTTAGAAAAGAAAAAATATGATCCATTTGTAAAATATAATCCACTAGGAGGCTTGTAATTACAGAGTTCAAAATCAAATACTATTCTTTAAAAATCCAAATTTCCCTAATTATTATTTAAAAATATACATGTATAAATAATCCTACAGAAAACAGAAATATTAGTTGGAAAATATTTATTTCTTGGCATGTTATTTAATTTAAATGAATTAATTTAACAAATTAAAACAATGTAAAACTCTCAAAACAAAACTTTATGTAAGTTTGATTTGACTACTTTTATTATTATCCAAAGGAAAATAATCTATTAATAGATGACTTATTCATCAAATGACACTTTCCTTAAGCCTAAAATTTTGCTAGGTGATAATCTAAGAAATGTCTAAAATGGTAAGGTCAACCAGAAAAACACTCAGAACTTTTAGAAATATTCTGGATACAGTGAATATCAGAGAACGCTAGTTTAGACTTGAGATGTACATTCAAAATGAGTAAGACTCATTCATATTTCAGATATTTTAAGAAACACGCAGAACTGTGGAAGCTCATCACCTACAATTACTTCAAATGTGCAAAGACAAACGGATAAGCATGGAAGAAGTTCCATTCCAAGAAATGGAATCTTTTCATACCATATGGTTCTTTTGTTTTAGAAAATAAAAATGATTTCTCTGTCTTCTCACCAGCCTGTACTGAACTGTTCTGCAAATTAACTAGCTACCAAAATGAGGATAAAATCAACTAGAGAGTCCGGGAAACAGGAAAGCAACAGCAGTTATTATTGGCGCTAACAGTGGAAGACAAGCGAAGAAGAGCTACAATATATATTTACTTACAATTTTAGGGTTTATTAACGTTCTCGCCCATATATTAATAAACCTTCAAGGTCACTAGGCCAAATATTATCAATACTTATTAGGCTCAGAGTAGCTGCATAATTTATTAAGGCAAAGATTTAGCACATTAGAGAAATGCTCTAACAACAGCCTTCTTTATTTCAAACTAAGAACATTTCTGAGAGAGAAATCTGAAGACTTTTATCGTCTTATCTGTCTTATACAAATAGAGGGTCAGTGTGGAATTAGCATTTAACAATCTATTGGCTTAAAATTATTCAATGATATAAAAGAAAATACACACATATTAGAGAATTATTTAAGTAGTACAAATAAATCACCTGTAACTTAAGAAATATTTACCTGTTATAGAAGTAAGGCCCATACACGTAGCTGCTATGGTCACTCCCAAGACCGCTGCAGTATCCTCCAGTAATATAACATTTGTACTAGGATCACGACTTTCCATTACTTAATCATTGGGGTAGAGACAAGAAAAGAAACTTTCTGAAATCCTAATTTGATACTATCATGTAACATTTTATTAAGTATCTATCTAAAATTGAGATAAAAATTAAGATTAAAAAATGTATGAGATCCTGATTTTAAAAACCCTGTTCAATGTAAACATAATTTATTGGTTTTAATGTTGACAGTAACTGAAATTTAAAGTCAAATTACTTTCTCTGGTTATAAAAAGATATATAGAAAAACTGCAGTTCATTTCAGTTAAAATCCAAATATAAAGTATTCATGTTCATATCACATTACATTTCTCTTTTTAAAAGAGATGATATATAACGTAAGAGCCACACAGAGAAGACATCAAGATATATTTTGTACACCCCTATAAGGAAAAAGCAATAGTACTGGGCAATTTTAGAAAATAAAGGAGATGAAGTAAGGCACCTGGCTTCTAACATACATACCATATTTATAAAATGACATTCCTTTGGCCCGAGCACTCCTACGAAGTTCATTTACAGCAACAAGAAGTGTTGCTGAAAGAAAAGCATTCATATCAGCAAGAAAAAAACCGCATGCCTCCAAATTTTAAAGACGGCATCTCAAAATAAACAGGTACAACACTTTTAACGCCAGCGTTGTCAATAAAGGAAAGTTCTATATTAACTAGTCACTATCGAGACTCCAATTATCGTCAAAACAAAAGGAATCCCATATTTCTAAACCATAATAATTTAAATATCATTACCACCACCTTAATGACCTTAATTTATTGGACAGCACTAGTTGGCAGGCACCACACTAAACACACTTTTGATCCTTCCGACCTTTTGAGACAGTGGTGTTATCACCATTTTGCAGACTGTCAAAGATTAAGGGAACACAGCATTGTGAATGACAACGTATGGGAAGTAAGCACACTATGAATACAGCAATGAATCAGGCAGTTTCCTATATGATGTAGCACTTCTCTGTCATAAAACTTGCTACAGCTGAAACCTGCAGAAACCTGGAAATATTTTATTGCAAAGAGTCAGCTTCCCATGATTAACACTACTAAAACCTTCTCAAGGTTTTATTTTTTTTTTTAATTTTATTTATTTATTTGTGAGAGAGTGAGAGTGAGCGAGAAAGAGAAATAGAATACAAGCCAGGGGACAGGCAGAGGGAGAGAGAGAAGCAGACTTCCCACGGAGCCAGGAGCCCAATGCAGGGCTCAATCCCAGGACCCCGAGATCATGATCTGAGCTGGAAGCAACTGCTTAACTGACTGAGCCACCCAGGTGCCCCATTAAAACATGATTTTTAAAAATTCAATATATAGGTATGTTTTTAGGCTCCATTCCAAATGTTCTGAGGGTTATGATTAAGATACTCAAGAGCAAAATAACAGCTTTTCCCTTGCCCACATCCATTAGAGGAATAACATAGTACATTATACAAAGAATTTACTCCCTCGAAGTAGATTCCTATTTCCATAGTTTTTCTTTAATCAGTGGAATTTAGCAATTTATAAAAATGGACTGCTGAATATATATTACTAAATTAAGAATAAAGAGATACTGTAACAGTACATACCTCCTTCAGATGCTAATGATCCCGCTAAAATACAATACGCCTAGAAAGTAAGTATTAAAATAAGGTGTAAGTTAATATTTCATTAGAGAATCACAATGATTCATGCATAAAATTTATAATGTTTAAAATGCAACATAAATTTAAATCCTAGCCAGATAAAAATCATGATGGGAGACAGCTCAAATGAAGGCAAGGAAATAGATGGCATATCTTCATAAAAGGAAAAAAAATAAAAGTTAAAAATCTGATGGTCATCTCATTTTTTAAGGCTTAAAAGAGTAATCTGTCCACTCTACAGAATGTTATACCATGACCTAAGTTAAATTCATAAAATAAGAGATGAAAAAAATTTGTACAAAAATTTTTCTGAAGTTCAAAATGAACACAAACATTTGAAATCTGAGGTATGGATACCAGGATATAGTAAGATCCATCCCCACAAACCATAAGAGACCCTTAATCTCAGGAAACAAACTGAGGGTTGCTGGGGGGATAGGGGAGGAGGGATAGGGTGGCTGGGTTATGGACATCGGAGAGGGTATGTGCTATGGGGAGTGCTGTGAAATGTGTAAGGCTGATGATTCATAAACCTGTACCCCTGAAGCAAATAATACATTATATGTTAATAAAATATAAATAAATAAATCATCCTTCCCTCTCTGAAACTCAAAAAGAAAGATCCATACCCATAACTATGTAACTTCTGTTCTGGATTTTGGTTGGATGCCCAGTACCAATCCAGATTCAAAAAGACAAGCAGTTATAAATAGTGATCAATTTGGGATTACATCATCTTCCTCGCAGTAACAGGACACACTTGAATTAAATAAAGATTTGCAAAAAAACTTTAAACCAAGAGACAACCTAGCAACTTGAATTTTTTAAAGTTTCAATGAAATTCAAACGAAACATATGTAGAATTTTCAGCATTATCTTTTTGGAACCCTGGGTTTCCCTGAAATAGAAGTTTGGAAAATTCTGAGCCTCATCTAATACTCTTATAATTCTGTTAAGGAAACTGAGATGTCCTAGGGCTATGTGATTTGCTTGAGTACATAGAAATGATACCAGGGTAAGAACTAGAATATGGGTTTTCCAGTCTCAATTCTAGGCTATCTCTACTGAATGTTACTGCCAACCTACAATATAATTTGAACAGCTTAACTGCCCAATAATTTTTTTTTAATCCTTCTATCTCCTTCCTGAAAGGATTTAAGACACACTTATCACCCAATAAAGGGGAAAAGCATATCCCAGCAAAAGATTCCAATACCTAATAAACATAAACTGGTCTATGGTACATTGCTTTTATTATTAACTAAAAGTCATAGTCTTATGTAACCTCATTTAGCTGCAAAAAGACAGAAGAGCCTCTAGGAGCTTTATTTTCTTTAATAGGCTCCACACCTACCATGGAGCCCAGCGCGAAGCTTGAACTCAGGACCCTGAGATCAAGACCTGAGCTGAGATCAAGAGTCAGATGCTTATGTGGCTGAGCTACCCAGGCACCCTGAGCTTCTAGTAGGTTTAAAACTTACATGCAATTGAAAATTTAACTAATTTTCATTAACCACTTAGTCTCTGTGAAGTAATACAGATGAATACTATTAGAATGAGGTATCTATAAAGCAGCTGAACATTTTCAGAATGGAGGAAAAGATGTTCAATGAGATTCATTCCAATTGAGAACAAATGAGGGTGTAAGTACTCCCACATTCCAAAATGAGGTGCTACACCATCTCTTCAGGCTTTGTGTAGAGAATGCCCAGCCTGGTTTTACAACTCCTAGCTCCATACCACTAACCCATGAGGAAGAGCTAAGGTCAAGGCTAAAAGTGAAGAATTCTTTGAAGAAAGCTATTAAGCCATTAAGATTGTTCAGAAAGCTGGATGTGTGTCCCTAGTGTTTAGAAGAGAATACAGTGCACATATAAAAGAGAATATAATGCACATATAAAAATAAATTTATTGGCAAGTCTACTGATACAGATTGTGTCAATAGAGTAGATGATTACATCTGAAAACAAAACAAAACAAAACAAACTGCACTCTCACTGAGAGAGTAATAAAGATGTCTGTTTTACCACACAGAGCCCAAGGAGAACTCTGAGTAATCAGAGTCTCTTGAAAAGAGATCAATTGCCCAAAGAGCCTTCTGGAAAATGCAAGGCAACCTCAGCAGAAAGAGTCTGGAACTACATCCTAAGATGCAGAAGCTAAGAGGGGGTGTCACATGACCAATCTGTGCTTGTCAAAGGAACTAGAGTCAGAATGGCCACGCAGGGTAATCTCCAAGAAGTTTCCATGAGAGAAAAAGGCAGCTCTAAGCGTCCACAAAGGCCGGAGGAAACCAATGCAAAATGATGCTGGTGCCAGTAAAGTAGTACTTTTCTGTCTTCTGTCCCTACCTTTGATGCTGCCAGAGGCAAGCTCAGGAGTAAGAGAGAAGGGCAGAAGCCCTAGCTAGGAAAATCTAGGTGACCATGCTCCCATCCTCCCATTCCCCCAGTACAAGCTTTCTACCTACGTGAGTGGAAAAAACATCTTTAAATACAACAATTCCAACTTAAGACTATCTTGTGGAACTGGATGTTTTAAATCCTGACAGATTATTCTTGGGACTAAAAATGAACAGAGATCTTCTCGTTCTTCAATATAACTTAAGAAATTAATGGAACTGCCCAAGATTTTAGCCAGGAGTCAGTACTTAATGATTGTACATAGTTACTCTTTTTTTTTTTTAAGATTTCATTTTTACATAATCTCTATACCCAACGTGGAGCTTGAACCCACAACCCTGAGATCAAGTCGTACACTCCACCAACTAAGCCAGCCAAGTGCCCCTGTACCTATAGAGATACTCTTGTTCAACATCATTGAACCGTATGAATTTAGAGGTCATGTGTACTCATGTTCTAAAAAACACAACTACAGACACATAACCCTTAATTACAGTAAAAAAGGCATATGTTAGTCCCTTTCTTTAACATCAATATGACAAAGGCATTCTCCCATACTTATATTACTTGAAAACTGAGGGGGGAAAAAGATTACCCATAGAAGGGATTCCATTGGTTGAGGATTAAGCAATCCCATGATTCCATGGTACCAAGATAATCCTGCACCCATCATGAAAATACCAACACCACTAATTAGCGAAGCAATATAGCGCATATTTGAAAATCCATACCTGAAAAATAGAAAAAAATTGTACACTTTACAAGAAATACAAATCATTTTACAATATATGTTGAATAAGTCAATGAAAAAGAAAATCAAAAATTTCTTATAAAGATGTTTATGTTTTTATATTAAAATAAGTGTATCAGTTATATTATTTAATATTAATTAATCAAAATTCATTTTGAATCTATTAAATTAGTAAATTATTTATTAAATTATTTTAATATTATTATATATTATATTATTATTTATTATATATTATTTTAATATTAAATTATTATTTATTAATTTATTATTAACTAAATTTATTTTGAATTTTTAAAAATTAATTAATCAAAGTATCAAAGTTAAAATGTAACTTCAATCAGAAAATAACATATAAAGGCAAAAAAACCTGCAAGATCTTTGAAAATATAGAAAAACAGAGTGAATATAACTGAATTCAGGTATTTGTTAATCCCTTTTCCATATAGTATGTATTGATTAAATACAGTCAATTTACTATTATGTACAAATACTGATAAAATTAACCCTTTTAAAAATGCATTCAGGTGTTTAATGGAGAGGATGACATTTAAATTACCCTGTAATACAGTTTCTAACTGAACATTTGGTCTTCTTACCTATAATTAGATGTTGGATACCTGGGGCTGGTTCTGAATAGTTTAGCACACTATTAACTTCTATTATTATTAGGACTATGAGCTTCAGTTTTCTGGGTGTTTTTATGGCAAGTTTTTTTTTTTTTAAAGTCTCATTTATTTTTTAAGAATCTTTGGCCAATATGTGTATTATCTTCTATTATTGTATGTATCAATAAAATACTGAGTTTTAAGAAGCTCAAAAACATGACATACTTTATGAGGAAAGCAGTCACTCATTAATAAAAATATTTCCTGGGAAATTTACTCCCAAAGCCAAACTCTATGGCACCCTTCTGGGAGATGCAAATTTAAACAACAGGTCTTAATTAAAACTGCTTTTTTAAATTATTTTTGCAAATATGTAGTAATCTTGCCATAGGGAATTCTCAGTTTATAGATGTGAAAATGTTCTACTGCTTGATTTAGAAAAACTTACTTTCTCTAAATGTTCCCCCAAAGTAATATAGGATATATATATTTATATTTATTTCAGTTAAAGTAAATTAAGATCTAAATTAAGTCCTATTACTTTCCTTCTCTATGTTTTCAAAAATTTCTAGGTTCTTACTGAAAATTTTAACTATGTAGATCTTCATCATCCCATATTAGTCATCAGCCACATAATGCTATTTAAATTTAAGTTAAACAATAAAAATTGAAATGTAGTTCTTTACACTAGCCACATTTCAAATGCTCAACAGCCACACGTAGCTACTGACTATCATACTGGAGAGATATAAAATACTTCTATCACTATAGAAAATTCTATTGAGCAGCACTAAGTAGATTGTTGAAAATACCTTAAAAAGAAATCTTCACAACCTAAATCTATAAAATTTTATCCTGTTTTTAAAATTTTGGTGTATAAAACTAATCAGAAAAAAATTCTTTTCTTGACACAGTAAAATACTATAATGATGTTAATTAGTAGATAAGAAAACTAGTTGTTCTCTGTAACTACTTACTAAGATATTAAAAATACACTACTGTTTATAAAAAACAGTAGTGTCTTGAGATGCCTGGGTGGCTCAGTTGGTTATGCGTCTGCCTTTGGCTCAGGTCATGACCCCAGAATGTGGGATGGAGTCCCACATTGGGTTCCTTGCTCAGCAGGAAGCCTGCTTCTCCCTCTGCCTCCTCCGCCTGCAGCTCTCCGTGCTTCTGCTCTCTCTCTGACAAATAAATTCTTAAAAAAAAAAAAAAAAGTAGTGTCTTGCTTTTGAGTAAAAAATGGCATTTAAGGGCGCCGGGGTGGGGTTAAAGCCTCTGCCTTTGGGTCAGGTCATAATCCCAGGGTCCGGGGATCGAGCCCCACATCAGGCTCTCTGCTCTGTGGAGAGCCTGCTTCCTCCTCTCTCTCTCTGCCTGCCTCTCTGCCTGCTTGTAATCTCTGTCTGTCAAATAAATAAATAAAATCTTAAAAAAAAAAAAGGCATTTATATAAAGCACAGAGGTAGACTCCTTTACAGAAATAAAAGTACTTTATTTTGACCTAAGGTGGATCAAATTTTATTACTGAAACTTGTTAAATAAATGATACATGAGGAATTCTAAAGTATTATGGGAGCACCTGGGTGGGTCAGTCATTAGGCATCTGCCCTCGGCTCAGGTCATGATCCAGGGTCCTGGGACAGAGCCCCAAATCAGGCTCCCTGCTCAGCCAGAAGTCTGCTTCTCCCTCTCCCACTCCCCCTACTTGACTTCCCTCTCTTGCTGTATCTCTCTCTGTCAAATAACTAAATAAAATCTTAAAAAAAAAAAAAAAAGGATTAGGGGTTATGTTAGTAAAAAAAAAAAATATATATATATATATATATATATAAAATAACTGATGTGACTCAATATAAAAGAATACTCATTTTACAAATAAACAATTTTGAAATGTTAGCAGAATACTAAGTCCCAACAGAATTAAAATACATTAAACATGGATTTCATAAAAGTTTTCACTAAAATTTTATTTATTTTTATTTTTTTAAAGATTTTATTTATTTGACAGACAGCACAAGTAGGCAGAGTGGCAGGCAGAGGGAGAGGGAGAAGCAGGCTCTCCACTGAGCAGCGTGCCCAATGTGGGATTTGATCCTAGGACCCTGGGATCATAACCTGAGCTGAAGGCAGCCGCTTAACAGACTGAGCAACCCAGGCATCTGGTTATCACTAAAATTTTAGATTCAGTGCCTCTTAGTCTAAATGTAGAATAAAACTCTAAGATCAAAATATGTGCTTTGCTATTAATTATCAAATATGAAGAGGACAAGATCTCTATGCTGTTACAAAGCAAAAATATAATTTAAAAACAAGTTTCAAATTATATCTTGAGTTTGACATTGTGGTTGAATCCTGTATCTTAGATACTACAGTGAAAGAAATGACCAAATCCTTAACACAAAAATGCAGATATGTAAACTGCAGGAGACTTCTAAAATTCAACTGCTTGTATTTCAATGACTTGCTGCCAAAAATAAAATAAAATAAAGGCAATTTCCTTACGGATGAGTAGGATCTGGTGTTTGAACAGACTTACTGATGCCCACTGCTAGCAAACCCTATGGAGAAGAAGAAAGGGTAAATAATTATTAGCAAGATGGAGAGTATAGTAGAACCAATCTGGAGTGTGCAATCTGACAATGGCAAAGAACTACTTCACACGCACATACACAACAGCCCAGCAATTCCGGTTTTCAGTCTTTACCTTAGAGAAATAAAGATTAACCCTGAGGGGTTCAAAACACCATTGCTTATAAAGAAGAAAAATGTGAAAGCAAACCTAAAAATCCATCAATAAAGAATGGCAAAATAAATAATGGTGTTGCCAAACCACAGTTACTTCTCCACCAGTTTAAAAGAATGGAGTGGAGACACAGCTTTCTGTACTGACCTGGTAAAAGCTCCTACACATACCATTAAAGTGGAAGAAAAAAAAAATCAAGTTTAGGAACAGTGTGTAAAGTACAAAAAAACTTATGTCGTTTTTGTAGACAACATATAATGTAAGGCACAGGAAAAGTTCTAAAAGAATACACATTCAACTGTTTATACCTCTGAGGAGAGAAGCAGGATTAGAATAGTAGGTGATAGCTGGTATTTTTATAGGAAAAATAACATATTGCTAAACAAACAAAAGATGGTAAAAATTTTAAATACCATACATTGTATACAGATACACACATTTCTACTAAAACTTCAAAGCCATGCATAGGAAGTACACATATCAATATATACAGAGCAGTGATTATTGGGAATAAAGATGTAGGGTTAATTACAACTAAGATTTTATTTCTTAAAAAAAAAACAAAAACAAAGTTAATATGGCAAAAATACCATGTCTTTAATCCTAGTTACCACCTCTCTCTCCTTCCTTCCATCCTCCCTGAACTTGATCTTTTCTTCCCTTCTCTCTTTATTTGGTTTTTCAATTGCATCTTTTGTTAAAAAAGAGTTATCCACTGGAAACTCCTGATATTAGTATGCTTGTTCCTAGTAAGTCCTTTCTATTCTTTTTTTTTTAAAGATTTTTATTTATTTATCAGAAAGATATCACAAGTAGGCGGAGAGGCAGGCAGAGAGAAGAAGGGAAGCAGGCTTCCCGCTGAGCAGACAGCCAGATGCGGGCCTCCATCCCAGGACCCTGAGACCATGACCTAGGCCGAAGGCAGAGGCTTTAACCCACTGAGCCACCCAGGCGCCCACTCCTTTCTATTCTAATTTGATGTGAATTTAGATAAAAAGATTATCTTATTAGAATTATTTATTTAAAACAGAAGGCCTCTGAGTGAGTATCCTACATGATATTATTTGCCTCATCTGGGGCTTTTCCATTTTGTCAGCACGGTATCAAATAATCAGACAGGTAAAGCTTCAAGATAAGGTTTCATAGATGAGGTTTCCCTGTAGGTTACAAAAAACTTGAAAGAGAGGCAGCTGGGTGGCTCAGTCCTTAAGCGTCTGCCCTTCGACTCAGGTCATGATCCCAGGGTCCTGGGACGGAGCCCCACATCGGGCTCCCTGCTCTGCAGGAAGCCTGCTTTCCCTCTCCCACTCCCCCTGCTTGTGTTCCTGCTCTCATGATCTGTCAAATAAATAAAAATCTTGGGAAAAACAAAGAAACAAACACCTTAACAGAAACATTCTCTCTAGTAAAAATACACAGAGATTACACCACCTTGAAATGGCTAAAACAAATACATGAGTGGACTTTTAAGTTTTGTTATCAGAAATCCTACCCTAAATACACAGAGCATTACAAGTTTTTTTCTACTGGATTCCAAAGAAAAAGAGGGTGAAAACTACCTAAAAGAGGATGGCTTTTCAGTGAGTCAAACCAAGAAATGAGAGCAAATTAACACAGAATTCTTTTAAACTTGTAAATTAAATTGAAATATTCATTAATTCACACTGTGTATATATATGCATGTGTTTATAATGCTTACAAAATAGCCAATGGGTATTCATTATTTCTAAAGTCCTTAATATTCAGGTTGGCCATGCAATGAAGTATAGGATAACAAGTTTTTCATAAACTGAAATGTGGACCAAACTTGTTAGTTTTTCCTATAAAAATAAGATGTCAGGGCACCTGGGTGGCTCAGTGGTTTAAGCCTCTGCCTTTGGCTCAGGTCATGATCCCGGGGTCCTGGGATCGAGCCCCGCATCGGGTTCTCTGCTCAGCAGGGAGCCTGTTTCCCTTCCTCTCTCTCTGCCTGCTTGTGATCTCTCTCTGTCAAATAAATAAATAAAAATCTTAAAAAAAAAAAAAAAAAAGATGTCACAGAACATCCCTAATCCTGTCTGCCTCACTCCCCACAGGGGTAGGAGTAGCATGAGATAGATTTCAGAATTTTTTCTGTACAATTACAATGTGTGTGTGTATACATTAATAAATATACACACTAATATATATAGAGAGATATATACATATCAGTTATGTAAATATAACCTACATCTGTTTGGTTTGCAACATAATATTAATATCTACTGGCTAAGAAGCATTATAAATGCTTCCCCCTCCATGATTATCCTTCCCTTTTTTGATTTTTCCTTAAGTATCATACTATCATGCAACTGCTTAAATGTTACCTTGGACTATCTTTCTAGTTGTTTTGACCTCCTTACAGAAGACAGAGCAAAGTCTAATTTCTCCTAAATACTACATTACAAACTCAGGTGTTCAATAAGTTCCTATCAATTAATATTAGTGATATAATATATATTATTTAGCAATAAAGTTTTAAAAAATGAGCCGCCACAGAAGTTGCCAACCTAGGTATCACTAGAGACACAGGTCTAAATCTAAAACTTGAGGTCGTTTAGGTAAAGAAAAAAAAAAAACACTACAGTTATAAAAATATTCAAACAAATTAATTTTTCAGTAACTGAAAGTTTGTACCTTTTGACCACCTTCACCCATCTCACCCACCCCTACTTACCCCGTCTCTGGCAACCACCAACCTGTTTTCTGTAAGTTGGGGGTATTTTTATTTTATTCCACATATAAATGAGATCATTCAGTATCTATCTCTGACTTTATTTCACTTAGCATAATGCCCTCACAGTCCATCCATGGCAGGATTTCCTTTTTTTTTTTTTCTTATGGCTGAATAATATCCGTGCGTGTGTGTGTACACATACATACATTTTTTTAATCCATTCATCTATCAAAATCGGTATTTAGGTTGCTTCCAAGTCTTGGCTGTTGTAAATAATGCTGCATTGAGCATGAGGGTGCAGATATCTTTTCATAGTGTTTTGTTTCCTTTTAGATAAGAATTCCAGAAGTGGAACTGCTGGATCATTTGGAAGTTCAGTATTTTTTTTTTTATGAACCTCCATACTATTTTTCATAGCATCTGTACCAATTTACATTCCCATCAACAGCACACAAGGGCTTCCTTCTCTCTACATGCTTGCCAACCCTTGTTATTTCTTATCTTTTTGATCAGTCCTTCTAACTGGTGTGAGGTGATAGCTCATTGTGGTTCTGATTTGCATTTCCTTGAGGATTAGTGATGCTGAGCACCTTTTCATGTACCTTTTTGGCCATTTCTATGTCTTAGTTGGAAAAATATCTATTCAGATCTTCTGCCCATTTTTTAATCAGATAGGACTTTTACTATGGAGTTGTAGGAGTTCTTTAGAATTAATTTTTAAAAATATTACTATACTTCTAAAATAGTTTTATTTTGTTTTGTTAGTAGGCTCCAAACCCAGTGCAGAACCCAATGTGGGGCTCGATCTCACAACCCTGAGACCATGACCTATGACAAAATCAAGAGTCAGATGCTTAACCAACTGATCCATCCAAAGGCCCCTAAGATAGTTTTCAAAAGACCCTAAGAAATACAATTTCCATCTACTCAGTAAGGCCCTGTTGAAATCTTTTTCATCAAAGCCATTCCGACCACTTTAATCAAGACAAAACTCTTTACCAAGGATTCTCAAAGCACCAACACCATGTGACTTTAGCGCTTATTTACCTCTGTTGCCGCTCGATCTATTACAGAAATTAATTTGATTTTCTAGTTAGAACACTAGCATTCTCATTGTAAAGAAATCAAATAGGACAGGAGAGGGAATCGTTTACGCGTCTGACGGATATTTCAGACTATCTTCATACACACTTGTAAATAGTTTGTTAATGTTCCTTTTGTGAATATATTTTTGTGCCAGATTTCAGGGAGGGCTGTGTGTGTGCTTAAAAAAAGATGATCACAATCTACATCACGTCTTTTTGCACTTTATATTATGGAAACTGTCAACATACAGAGAGATGGGTAAAACATTTTTTAAAAACCCAACAGAACATTTCAATAAATCCAACTCATCCATTGCTTAGCTTTAATAATTGTAAATATGTAACACATCTGTTTTCTCTGATCCATACCCACTCCCTCCATGAATATTTAAGTAAATTGGAAGCTTCATGACATTTCATCTTTAAATATTTTACCTGAATGACTAAAACTCTAAGGCATTTTAGGAAATTCAGACACAAGACTATTATCATACTTTTAAATATTAATACTAATTCCTTAACATTTTAAAATATATACTCAGTAATCACATTTCCACATATGGGAATTCTACATTTGTGGTAAAATTCACAGACAATGAAATGCAAGAATCCTGAATATACAGTTCTTAAAGGTTTGGCAAATCAATACCCTTGTAACATATTTTCCCATCAAGACACAGAACTTTTCATTCACCTCAGAAAATTCTCCTGTACCTCTTTTCAGTCAATCTCTCCCAACATCAGAGACAACCATTTGCTGAATTTTTAAAATTGTTTTTATCTTACCTCTAGTAGAGTTATTAGACAGGGTTAATTTCAGGGATACAATATAGTGCATCAACACTTCCATACATGACCCTGTGTTCATTGTAAGTGCCCTCCTTAATCCCTATCACCTATTACACCCATTCCCCCATCCACCTCCCTTCTGGTATATATCCAACTACATATACAGCCAACTATACATCCAACTATTCAACTATTAGTTAAGAGTCTGTTTCTTAGTTTGTGTCTCTTTTCCCCCTTTGCTCATTTGTTTTTTAAATTCTACACATGAATCATATGGTATTTGTCTTTCTCTGACTGATTTTACACTCTCTAGCTACAATCATGTTGTTGGAAATGGCAAGACTGCAATCTTTTTATGGCAAATAATATCCCAAATATATATGTATATATCCCCCACAACTTCTTAACCATTCATCTACTGATGGACACTTGGGCTGCTCCCATATCTTGGCTATTGTAAATAATGCTGCTATAAACAGAGGGGTGCATGTATCCCTTTGAATTCGTGTTCTTGTATTTTTTTTGAAGTTTTTATTTTTTTATTCGACACAAGAAAGAGAGCACCCCAGGGATCAGGAGAGGGAGAAGAAGGCTCCCTGCCAAGTAGGCAGCCCAATGCAGGGCTTGATCCCAGCGTCCTGGGATCATAACCTAAGACGAAGGCAGACACTGAATGGAATGGGCCACCCAGATGCCCTTGTGTTCTTGTGTTTTTTGGATAATACACAGCAGTGCGACTACTGGATTATAGGGTAATTCCATTTTTAATTTTTTGAGGAAACGCCATGCTGTCTTCCATAGTGACTACACCAGTCTGCACTCCAACAGTACACAAGCATTCCTTTTTCTCCACATCCTTGTCAACAATGGTGTTTGTGTTTTTGATGTTAACCATTCTGACAGGTGTGAGGTAGTATCTCATTGCAGTTTTGATCTGCATTTCCCTGATAAGGAGTGATGCTTAGCATCTTCTCATGTGTCTGCTGGCCATCTACATATCTTCTTTGGAGAAATACCTGTTTATGTCTCCTGCCCATTTTTTAATTGGATTCTTTGTTTTGGGGAGTGTGGAGTTGTATCAGTTCTTTATATATTTTGGAGACCAACCCTTTATCAGAAATGTCATTTGCAAATATCTTCTCCCACTCAACAGATTGCCTTTCAGTCTTGTCGACTGCTTCCTTTACTGTGCAAAAAGCTTTTTATTTTGATGTAGTCTCAATACTTTGTCAGAGAAATTACTGCCTCTGTTCTCTTCTGGATTTTTATGGTTTCAGGTATCATATTTAGGTCTTTAATGAATTTTGCATTTATTTTTGTGTACAGTGTAAGAAAGTTGTCTAGTTTCATTCTTTTGCATGTAGCTGTCCGGTTTTCCCAACACCATTTATGGAAGATACTTTTTCCCACTAGATATTCTTTCCTGCTTTGTCAAAGATTAATTGACTATAATTATGGGCTTATTTCTGGGTTTTCTAATCTGTTCCACTGATCTATGTGTCTATTTTTGTGCCAGTTCCATACTGTTTTGATTAATATGGCTTTGTAATATAACTTGAAGCCTGGAATTGTGATACCACCAGCTTAGGTTTTCTTTTTCAAGATTGTTTTGGCTATTCGGGGTGTTCTGTGGTTCCACAAAAATTTTAGGTTTTGTTCTAATTTGGTGAAAAATGTTGGTATTTTGATAGGGACTACATTTAAATCTGTAGACTGCTTTGGGTAATACAGACATTTTAACAATATTTTGCTCTTCCGATCATGAGCATGGAATGTCTTTCCATTTTTATATCTTCTTAAATTTCTTTCATCGGTATTTTACAGTTTTCAGAGTACAGGTCTTTCACCTCTTTGGCTAAGTTTATTCCTACAGATTTTATTATTTTTGGTACAAGTGTAAATGTGATTGTTTTCTTAATTTCTCTTTCTGCTGCTTTGTTATTAGTATATAGAACTGCAACAGATTTCTGTATGGTGATTTTGTACCCTGAGATTTGATTTAATTCACTTATCAGCTCTAGTAGTCTCTTGGTGGAGTCTTTAGGATTTTCCATATATATCATGTCATCTGCAAACAGTGAAAGTTTTGCTTCTTCCTTATCTATTTGGATGCCCTTTATTTCTTTCTGTTGTTTGATTGTTGTGGCTAGGACTTCCAGTACTATGTTGAATAAAAGTGGTGAGAGTGGACATCCTTGTCTTGTGTCCAACCTAGGGGAAAAGCTCTCAGTATTTATGATATATATTATGATATATATCATATATATCATATATGATATATATGATATGATATATATATATATGATATATATTACTTATGATGTTCCCTGTGAGTTTTTCATGTAAGTCCTTGATTTGTTGATGTTCCCTCTAAACCTACTTTGTTGTGGGTTATTATGAATGGATGTTTTACTTTATTACGTGCTTTTCCCCCATCTATTGAAAGGATCATATGGTTCTTATCCTTTCTCTTATTGGTGTGATGTATCACACTGATTGATTTGGGAATACTGAACCACCCTGGAAATCCAGAAATAAATCCCACTTGACTGTGGTGAATGATTATTTTAATGTATGGTTGGATTTGGTTTGCTAGTATTTTGTTGAGGATTTTTGCATCTATGTCATTAGAGGTTTGGACTGTAGTTCTTTTTTTTGGTGGTATCTTTATTTGTTTTTGGTATCAGGGTAATGCTGGCCTCAGAGAATAGATTTGGAAGTTTTCCTTCTTCTATTTTTTGGGATAGTTTCAGAAGAATAGCTATTAACTCTTCTTTAAATGTTTGGTAGAATTCACCTGTGAAGCCATCTGGCCCTGCACTTTTTTTTGTTGGGAGGTTTTTTACCCCCAAGATCTTATTTATTCATTTGAGAGAGAGAGAGCACGAGCAGGGCAGAGAGGCAGAGGGAGAAGCAGACTCCCCCCCCTCCCCGGGGGCCAGATGAGGAGCTTAATCCCAGGACCTGGAGATCATGACCTGAGCCAAAGGCAGATGCTTAATCATCTGAACCACCCAAGGAACCCTGGAGTTTTTTATTACTGATTCAACATCAGTATGTTCAAATTTTCTATTTCTTCCTGCTTTAGTTTTGGTAGGTTAATTTATCCATTTCTTCTAGGTTATCCAATTTGTTGGCATATAATTTTTCATAATATTCTGACAGTCTTTTGAATTTCTGTGATACTGGTTATTTCTCTCTCATTTGTGATTTTTGAGTCCTTTTTTTCTTGATCAATCTAGCTAGAGGCTTATCAATTTTGTTAATTTTTTTTCCAAAGAATCAGTTCCTCAGGATAGCTGGGTGGCTCAGTTGATGAAGCATCTGACTCTTGATTTTGACTCAGGTCATGATATCAGGGTTGTAAGATCAAGTCCCATGTGGAGCTCCACGGTAACAGTGGAGTCTGCTTAAAATTCTCTCTCCCCTACTGTCTATGCATGGCACGCATGCTCTCACTGAAAAAAAAAAGAAAAAAAAAAAAGGACCAGCTCCTGGTTTCATTGATCTATTGTTTTTCTAGTTTCTATACCATTTATTTCTGCTCTAATCTTTATTATTTCCTTCCTTCTGCTGACTTTGGGTTTTGTTTCTTGTTCTTAATTTTATAAAAATCTTTCTTCATTTGCACATTCAAGGAAAGGAATTAAAAATCCCAGTTTATGGGCCCCTGGGTGGCTCAGTTGGTTAAGCATCCAACTCTTAATTTCAGCTCAGGTCATGACCTCAAGATTGTGAGATCAAGCCTTGTGAGATGGGGACTGTGATCAAGATTGTGAGATGCTCAAGACTGTGAGCATCAGCCTCCATGCTCAGCAGAGGGTCTGTTTGAGGTTCTGCCCCTCCTCCCTCTGGCCCTCCTGCTGCTCATTCTCTCTGTCTCTAATAAATAAAATCTAAAGAAAAAAACCAGTCTAATGTGAAATCACTTTAATTCATTAATCACTTGTGATTATTTTATAGCTTTATTTTTTTTAAGACTTTATTTCTTTATTTGAGAGAGAGAGAGCATGCGTGCACATGAGAACATGAGTGCAGAGGAGGAGCAAAGGGAGAGGGACAAGCAGATCCCACACTGAGCATGGAGCCCAGTGTGGGGCTCAATCCCAAGACCCTGAGATCACAACCTTAGCCAAAATCAAGAGTCAGATACTTAACCCACTGAGCCACCCAGGTGCCCCAATTATTTTATAACTTTATTTAAAAACTTAATTGGTCCTTATAGTCATAAGAAGTCATATTCAGAGACCAAATTTCTACCTAATGATAAGAATCTCTTCTACAAAAACCTCTGCCCAACACTTAGTACTAATAATCTTATACTTCATATTCCATTGTTGTAAATTCTTAAAGCATAACAACCTGCTTTAAAATCTGATCAGGGGCACCTGGGTGGTTTAGACAGTTAAGCATCTGACTCTTGATTTCAGCTCAGTTAATGATCTCAGGGTTATGAGATCTAGCCCTGCATTGGGCTTCATACTGGGTGCGGAGCCTGCTTGAGTTTCTCTCTCTCCCTCTGCCCCACTCCTTACCTACTCACCTCATTTTCTCTCTTAAAAACAAAAGTAATAAAGAAGATCCTTGATTTAAAAAATAATAATAAAATACTATGATCAAATTTCTATGTACTTCACCATCAAAAGTAAAAAAAAACTTTCACTTTATTCCTCAAGCCAACTATAGGAATCATTCTGTTTTTAAATAGGTCAACTTTCAGACTAAAGCCTTAAAAAAATTTACTTTAAAATTAACAAGAAAAAAACTTCTACACCTTACCTGATTACAAGTATCAGATAAAGAGTGTATAGCTTCAGAGAACATACTTGCTGAACCCGTATAAATCCAGGCAAGAAATTTAAAGAAGCAGTTTAATCCATTGCTAGGAGAGAAAGATAAAACAATTTAGCATAGGTTTTGATAAAAATTTCTACCAAAAGCTTATTTGAGTACGTAAACCTCTGTACTAGATTCTGCTCCAAGTAAATTAAAAAGAATCTCTAACCTTTAGGAATTTATTATACTTTAGGTAACAAGAGAATAAATTTGAAAAATACAGATTATGATATCATTAAATATTCCAATGAAGAAACATGATATGTGTAAACAAATTACTTAAGTGTATTTTGAGAACCGATGAGAAGAGAATGTTTTATATTTGGATGAAGTAAAGTTAGGAAGGAAATTAAGTGTCTTATGTAGGTGAAAGAGATCTACACTTGGTATTGTCCAGCATACTAACGACAAAACCAAGACTTCGGTGAAAGTCTAGTTACTTAAACAGGCCAGATGTGAAGGTGCCATATGCCAGAGGTGAAAACAAATCTAGACCAAGCAGTCTCAGAGTCACACTAGAAGATAACAGATGCTAAAAATAAACAGCTAGCTGTTCAGATTCCAACAGTAATGACTGGCGCCGTTTATCTGGGGCACTACACTTAGCCACTTACCATGTTTTACTGTAACACTATTATTATATAAATATTAATATCCTCATTGTATAAACAAGGAAACTGTACATCCCCTCCAGCTACCCTTTCCCCTCTTTTCTACTTCAAATAATTTCTTGAAAGGATTGTATCTCCTCTTGCTATCTTCATTTTCCACATTTTGCATTAAGTCTTTGGTCCATTTAACAATGGCTTATGTTTCAGATACCTCGATTATTATCAATACCACAACTCTTTCTTGCCACTAAATTCCTGAAAATACTTTAGTATTTTCCTTAATCCCCCAGAAGCATTTGCCACTATTTTCTTAGAAGACTGTCTTCCTTGGCATCCATGATATCCCTGATTTTCTTTCATTCCAGGTTTGCTTTCCTTGCTTGCTCATTCCTCTTCTTCAGTCTCCTCTGCAGGCTCTTTCCTCTACCCATTTCACAGATGTTCACATTCTTCAAGATTTCCTCCTGAGGGATTTTTCTTCCACACACTTCATACACATTCTCCAGGTGATCTTTAATTACTCCTATGGCTTTAATTAACATCTCTATCTCAGTAACTCTCAACTCTAAGTCCCTAATCCAGCTCTCCTTTGTGAGCTTCAGACCAACATATATCAAAAATTATTAAGTACCTATTACGTACTGGGTATTACACTAAGCAGTTTACATATATTACATACATTCTTCCAGTGAAGAAAGTTTTAATTGCTAACCTCACAATACTGATGAGAAGAACTAATGCTGTTGACCAACTCCACTTGGGTGCCCTAACAGATCATTAAACTCAAAACTAAGCTCATCGTTTCCTTTTCTGCCACCCTGCCCCTCCTTCAAGTGCTCCTTCTCTCAGTGATGATGCCATAGCTATCCAACTGTCCAAATCAGAAGCCTGGGCACCATCCTTGACCATACCTCCTAAATATTTCTTGGACCTAAACATGCCTTTCCATCCCTACTTTCATTATCTCAGTTTAGTGCATCATCGTCTCTTCTCTGCATTACTGTACATGATGTCCTCCAGTCTAGTGCCCCTCCAATCCCTGAAGATGAGAATTATGAATTCTATCTTTGTATTTCAAGACCCTACCACAATTCCTGGCATGTCATATGTATATATTTTAGAAATAAACAAACTAATATATTACAGAATTAATACTTTTAAATATCCTAAAATAGATTCATCAGCAAAAGAGAAAAAAGATAACAATAGGAATCAAGAAGACAGAAGGAAAAAGAAGAGGCACAAATATCAGTTATGTTCTTCCAAGATAAGTGGGGCAAAACAAGAATGTAAATATTGTTCAGTAGATATGACCCAGGCTTGTTTACTCAAAAAATGATCTCAGCCAATTCACCTTTCTAAAAAAGAATTCTATCAACTCCAATGAAAATAAAAGAATTTTCAGAGAGCAACTATTCTTAGATCCTAACCTCTCCAAAAACCAACCCAGCACAAGCATGGATATCTATGTGGACTCTTCCTTCAACACTTTACTGACAATAATTAAAAAAGGTTCATTCAGGGGTGCCTGGGTGGCTCTGTTGTTAAATGTCTGCCTTCAGCTCAGGTCATGATCCCAGGGTCCTGGGATCGATCCCCGTATTGGGCTCCCTGCTCTCTCTCTCTCTGTGTCAAATAAATAAACAAACAAACAAATAAATAAATAAAATCTTAAAAAAAAAAAAAAGGGTTCATTCAACTTCCTTCTATAATAACATAAACATCTAACTCTTCACCTAAACGCCAAGTAATAAATTTTTACATTCATAGATGCACACATTAAAAATATTTTGATTTTAAGTGGTACTTACATGCAAATGGCAACCATCACCACTTTTCCTGGCCCTTTAAAAAAAACTGATGTCGTTCTGGACCGTGGCTATAAAAAACAAACAGACAAAAAACACAAAAAAAAATCTCTAAAATTTCCAGAGAACAGTTTGATGCTTATAAGTGATCTGACACACCAGAAAATATGTCCTCTATCAAACCCTCTAAACATCTAGATTTAGTTATTTGCTTCCTTTTCTCTACAATCTGCATGTTAAAAAGTGAGAAGATAGAAATTGAAAGCATATGTGAATCTCTTTCCAAAAACTTAACGTTTGTCTCTTTGTAAGTAATTTCCTGCCTGTTGCCAGGAAAGATCTGCGGTGGTTTCACAGAAACTAGGGATAAAATGATAAAAATGTATTGAACTGAAATCGATACACTCTACAATTTTTCCACTTCTTGAGCAACTTAACTTTTAAGGAACAGTCAAAGCCAAGTTTGCTTCTCCAATTTAACTCCTTATTACTCCCTAAATACCAAAGACCTCAAATGATAATGTTGAATTCCAAAAGAGACCAAAACAAAAGAAACAAACCAAGTAAAGAAAGCTATTTATCTTGAGTTAAATGTAGTTTCACTGTTCCTTCAATATATACTTTGTTTTTTCTCCTGCTCTGCCAGCATCATCTTCTACCACAATTTGTCTAGCTTTTACTCATCCCATTCCATGTTAGGCCAACTGGCACTTTTCTATTTAAAGCCATTCTTGGTCCATCACAGAGAATACTCACTCTGCTGTACATTTATTATTGAACTTTACATTTCTATTAAAGCACTTCATATAGTCTGCCTTATGTCATTTATTCAAGAAATATTTATTGTGCAACTACTACATGCCTGGCACAATTCTAGATGCTGGGACCTGACAGTAAACAAGAGTCCTGCCTTCATTGATCTCAAAATTGAGTCCAGGAAGATAGAGAATAAATCCATAAACAAATACATAACATCAGATAAGAATAAATATAATGAAGAAAATAGAACGGAGAAGATCATGTATGGGGGGGAGGGTGTATGTGGAAAGGGTTATTTTAGCTAGAGTATGAAAGAGGTTCAAAGATGAGAAGGCAGCAACCATGAAAAAATCTGAAGAATGGTTTCAGGCAGAGTATACACACAGGACATTTAAAGACGTGGAAAGAAATAAACTTGGTGTGTGGAAAGGACAAAATAAGCTTAATGTGACTAAGAGCATAGAAAGCAAGGAAAATGGTAGGGGTTGAGGACAGAGAAAGAGGCAGGGACCATATTCCACAGGATTTCGGAAACTATGGTAAGGAGTATAACTCTTATTCTACTGGCAAAAAGAAGGCACCACATGATTTTAAGCAGATATTTGGTATAGTCTAATTTGGGTTTTACAAAGACATAGCTTATAATGCAGAGAATAGGGACATCTGGGCAGTTCGGTCAGTTAAGCATCTGCTTTTGGCTCAGGTCATGATCCCTGGGATCATGAGTCCTGGGATCGAGTCCCACAACAGGCTCCTTGCTCAGCAGAAGCAAATTATGGGGACAAAGCAGAGATGGAGAAAACAATTAGGAGGGTAGTCCTGGTAAAGGATGGTGATGGTTGAGACTAAGGTTTCAATAAGAGGCATGGTGAGCAGCAGTTATACTAGGCATCTATCTTGGAGAAAATGCCAGTTGGATCTGCTAATGGGATTTAAACATAAAAGGGTCTATAATGAATCTCTAATATTTGGAGACTGAGTAAATAACCCAAGGAGGTTTTTTTTGTTTTTTTTTGTTTTTTTTTTTCAGAAGAGATGAAGGAAGTGAAGGTATTAATGAAGTCCAAGGAGAACCAGGAGAAAGACTGTCTTAGGCTCCTAGAGAACAAGGTGTTCCAAGGAAAAGGAATACTTCCGCTGGTGACCTGCACTTGACTATTCCTTCCCTCTTGGATTTCCATGAGAAGAGACGTCCCCCCCCCCCAATACTGGTGGCCTCCCCTCCTCCCCAGTGGCTGTCTGGGGGTTGACTAAGTAAGTGTAGTAAGGTAAATTTAGAAGAGAATGCTGGGCATATTTATGAGCATCCTCCTTTATTTTGGGAGTTGGTAGACATTTTCTTCTGTTCTTTCTCGGCTCTGTATTTGGACAAGACAGGTAGAGGTGTCTACAGTTTACTGGGTAAGTCTAAATCAGAAGAGTCTTGAGGTGCCTGGGTGGCTCAGTGGGTTAAGCCTCTGCCTTCAGCTCAGGTCATGATCTCAGGGTCCTGGGATGGAGCCCCGCATCGGGCTCTCTGCTCGGCAGGGAGCCTGCTTCCTCCTCTCTCTCTGCCTGCCTCTCTGCCTACTTGTGATCTCTGCCTGTCAAATAAATAAATAAACAAATCTTTAAAAATAAATAAATAGATCAGAAGAGTCTTTAAGGTCTAATGTAATGGACTGGAACTCTGAGAAACAGATGAGGAAAACAAATAAGGAGTCAGATTTCAGGTTGTTACTGGGGTCATGCCACGTAAGAGTTACTTACTTCTTGGTAAGTCACCACAGCTTATGGCAGTTTTGTTCCCTTGCACGCAGACCACAATGGCCCTGAAGAGGGACAAATAGCCCACACTGAAACTGCAGGTCCTGTAAGTCAGGCTGCTGCCGCGTACACTTGGATTCTATAGAATTTCTATAGAATTGGCTGCTTATTGCCAAGAAAGCTGAGGTGAGATTTCTTATCAGGAATTAGGAGAGAAAAATGACTATTTAAATGTCTTCTCACTTTTACAGTGTTTTGCAGTCAGGTCTGCAGACCAGGACACCTCCTACGTCCCCTGCGGACAACAGAACATAAGAGGGAGCTTCTAGATTTTAAGTGTTAAGGCCAGCTCTTGACAATGTGCAATTAGATGCCCCCAAATTCTGTTTTGAACTGCCTCCAGAGCTAAGACCAGGAATTAGGCAGGAAGAAACCTTATCCATATGATTTTACTTGAACTTAGATTTGCAAACTATAAACGCTGACCATGGCTCTAGATTTTTGAGTTCTATTGTTGATTAATAAATAAAAACTAGAGTACGTTTGTTTTATTATAATGAGAATGTGCTATGTCTTTTGGCTGAATAAAGAAAAACAAAACTCCAAAAAATTATTTTAGGAACAGTAAAAAAAAAAAATGCAGAGAGATAAATGAAAAGATGCTGTTTAAGGTGGATGATGAGAAATATGTCTTTAGAAGAAAGGTGCAAGAACTTTTGGGATAAATAAGACAGACAAGGAAGGAAAATGAGATCTTAAAAAGTAGAATAAAATGTCTTAAGGGAAAAAAGATTTACGGAGCTCAAATAGCTGATAAAAAAATTATTACAGAAAAGGTGAAAACATGTTGGTTGTTAGATCAGAAATAGTGACAAAGTCCAAGGAAAAGCAAGAGATCTACAGGAGCCAGGATTCACAACACCCTTGGGAAGCATCCTATTAAAGCCACCCATAAATTCCGTAATAAAAGCAAGTGGAGAACTGACCCTTAGAGAGCAGAATGGCCAACACGCTGGGAATTACTGAAACTGGAAGATGGGTTCATCAAATATTTTTCTACTTTTGTATATATTTGAAATTTTTGATAATAATTTTTTAAAATATTGGAACAAAAACAGAAAATGCGGCAGTATTTCAAAAATGACTACCAGCCAATCAGCATAAAATACTCAAAGCACTACTGACACTTCAAAATTAAAACTGCAAGTGGAGATAAAGGTACTTCTAATGCTCTAAAGGACTATCACAAATAATTTCACAGAATTAGAATTCTAAGGAAAGGCACAAGAAAGGAGAAGTATATTAAAGGAGAAATGTATTAAAAGGACATTGAGAAATTAGGTATCAGACAGTTAGATACTGTTCTGATAAGAGAATGCTTTTGGCAGACCCAGAACATAGTGAGTTCATATATATCACTACTAGAGTTCCTCTAATACAAAGAAAAATATCACAGAAAAGCAAGTGGATCAGAAGGTGGGGGGAGTAGAAGAATTTCACATTTAATTTAAAAATATTAAGTATTTAACAGGACTAACCCCATATATTTCTGGAGAAGGAAAGCAACCATCTTCAGTAGAAGAGTGAATGTTTTTTACAGAAATATGGGAACAGTAGAGGGAAATTAAAGTGTTATCCTATTACTACAAAAAAAAAAAAGAGTATAATAGAAACAAATTCTAGGGGGCACCTGGGTGGCTCAGTTGGTTAAGTGTCTGTCTTTGGCTCAGGTCATGATCTCAGGGTCCTGGGATCAAGTCCCACATCTGGCTCCCTGCTCAGCAAGGGGGTCTGCGTCTCCCTCTCCCTTTGCCCTTAATCGTGCTCTCTCTCTCTTGCTCACTCTCTCTAATAAATAAATAAATAAAATCTTTTTTAAAAAATTCCATTCAAAACCTGGAACTTTTCAAGGTTGACAAGTATGACTCCTCAAAAGGCCTCTAGTGACATGGATTTCAGAAGTCAGTAGCTACTCTCAAAAATCTAGTGACAACGAACCTTCATGGGAAACAGACAGAACACCTAGGAACAGATTCTCCCAGGAGGCAGGTCTCACCAACCTATGTTATTCCACAGCAGCAGTGAAGAGGCTGGCTCCTGGGGCAAAGATTCCACCAATGGGATGCCAGAAACACAAAACTCAGAGAGGAAATTGAAATTAAGGAGTTCTGAATACAATGAATAGAAAAGAACAAATAAAATATGACTAGAGTTGTCATCACTGCCAACCAAAACTTTGCCAAAAGGGAGCAATGTCTGAAATGTAACTCAGAAGAAAGGAGACAATCTGCACAGCTAGTCTTTTCTCCAAATAGGACCTTCACTTCTTGACAGGAGATATCTCCCAACTAAGTATAAATGCAACGTTGGCTCTGGACATGATTACTTGGTATGTTGGAGGTACTGGTGACTTTGATAAAAGCCATTACAGTGGACTGGTGGGGATGAAAGCCCAAATGAAGAGGATTCAGAAGAGAATAAGAGGTAGGATGATAAAGGTAAACTTTCTATACTGGTCTCAATATCAATTTCCTTCTAATAGGAAGTATTCTGGCACACAAGTAGATAAGTTAGTAAATCTGGTGATGAAAAGTGAGGTACTTTTATCTGATTACAACTATTTTTTTCAGTGAAAGATGAAGCAAGGTCATCAGCTGAAGAGGAAGTCTGTAGGAAGTTTGGGAAGACAGGAAAAGTATGCAACAGCTGTTTCACAGAGTGAGAGACTGAACGCATTATGGAAGTTCAGTAAGACTGTCAAATAATATTGTGTCCACTGATTTTATATATACTCATATAATAAGTAAGAACAATCAGAATGGCTGTGTAATTTTCTTGTCCAAGGGCTAAACTTTTTGAGTACAAGCAGAGAAGTGGCAGTTTGAATATTTAATCAGGGTTAGAAGTAGGAGAGAGGACAAAGGAAATTAAAGGTGTATACAAAAGAGTTAAATTTTGCTAAAAACCTAAGAAAATAAAGTCTTCTCCCTTACCTGTATCTATATACTTATGGTTTATAACATGTTATGAATTTAAAGAGAAATTATGTCCCAGTTTTTTTTTTAATTTCAAGAAAACCAAACAGAGACAGACTATATAATTCAGTAAATTACACTGTGCTCAAGAAAATCTTGAATTATGATCAGACATGCTAAAATTTCACAATGGACTGATACTAAAATTTCACTGTGCAAAAATATACACATGTAACATTATCAGAAAGATAATCTTACCTTGGTGTTTCCCAGGAAGTCTCTATATTCTCTTAGTATCTTTTGGTTTCTAAATAGCCCTTTATAAGAAAAGAATTACAAAATACATTTAGCTCATACATATTCTATCAGTCACATTCCACACTAACACAATTATTCTTTTTAAGAGTAGGTTAAATATCTTCTATTGGCTATCAGTAAAAGTATTGGATTATTATAAAAAATCTGGATCTGCGACCTGGATAAAAAATGGGCAAAGGACTAGAACAGACCTTTCTCCAAAGATGATATACAAATGGCTAACAAGCACAACATTAAAGAATGCTCCTATCAAACTCCTTATGGAAAAATGCAAATTAAAACTAAAATAAGGTATCACCTCACACCCACCAGAATGGCCATTATCCAAAAACAAAACAAAACCAAGCTCAGAAAATAACAAGTGTTGGCAAGGATGTGAAGAAAGCGAAAACCATTTGTATGCTGGTGGGTCTGTAAAATGGTGCAACCGCCGTGGAAAGCAACATGGAGGGTTCCTCAAAAAATTAAAAACTACCATATGATCTAGCAATCCCACTTGGAGGTATACAACCAAAAAAAAAGGAAAAAGAAAAAAAGAAAAAGAAAAAAGCAAGCAAGGTCTCAAAGAAATATTTACATACTCATATTCAGAGCGCCACTATTCAGAATAGCCAAGAAGGGAAAGCTACCAAAATGTCCATGGATAAATAAAAGGCGGTATATGCATACAATGAAATATTATTCAGACTTAAAAAAGAAGGAAATCCTGGCACACAGATAAACCTTGAGGACATTAAGCTACCTGAAATCTCAGTTAAAAAGACAAATATTGTATATTTCTATTTATATGAGTCAAATTCATAGAGACAGAAAGTGGTTACCAGGGCTACAGGTAAGAGAAAAGGGGAACCATTTGTTTACAGAGTTTCAGTTTTATGTGATGAAAAAGCTCTGGGAAAAAAATTCCTAAAGACTTGTTTCTTAACATGTGAATATACTTAATAATTCCTTTAAAATGACAAATTCTGTTGTGTTTTTTAACACAACAAAAAAAGGCAGGGGGAAATGCAATGAGAGAAAGGTGCACTTTTAAAAATATTTATTTATTTGTTTATTTATTTATCTTAGAGGGTGGGGGTAGGAAGGGCTAGAAGTAGAGGAAGAAAAAGAATCTTAAGCAGGCTCTATGCCTACTGCAGAGCCTGAGGTTGGGCTTGATTTCACAAGCCAGAGATCATGACCTGAGCTGAAATCAAGAGTTGGACACTTACCCAACTGAGCCACCCAGGCGCCCCAGAAAGATACTTTGATATAAGATCCTCTTCTCAATATTATCTAAAAATATGAATTAATCTTTTTTTTTTAAGATTTTATTTATTTATTTGACAGAGATCACAAGTAGGCAGAGAAGCAGGCAGAAACAGAAGAGGAAGCAGGCTCCCTCTGAGCAGAGAGCCCGATGCGGGGCTCAATCCCAGGACTCTGGGATCATGACCTGAGCCAAAGGCAGAGGCTTTAACCCTCTGAGCCACCCAGGCGCCCCTGAATTACTTAATCTTGATAGAAGAACCAGTTCTTCAATTTTTAGCTCAAGGTTTAAAAATACAAGAAAAACAAATTTCTATTACTTTATTTTCTCAAACTGTGTTTAAATATTTCCTTTCATATATGTACAGCCTCATGGTATCATTATTTTAATAGCAGAAGACTGAAAACAACCTATGGGGGAATGACTGAATAAACCATGTTGTACCCCCCAAAATGGAGTATTATAAAAGGAATGAAGAAATGTCTTTATTTATTGCTACAGATTGGTCCTCAGGACATAATGTCAATAAAAAAACCAAAGACAGAAAGTATACCTTATTTATGAAAGGGGATGGGGAGGGAATTAATACCATATACATGCTATTTCATAGTATATTTTTTAATGGAAAAAATAATTCCAAAACTGATTTTTTAAATAGTTACCAATGTGAGAAGGAGAAACAGGGTGGAGAAGATAAGGATAGAAACTAAATTTCTCTGAAGGTTCTGTCTGGTAGATGTGACTTTGGAATCATATAAGTTATTTCTAAATATCAGAAGCAAAATGAAACAAATGAACCTCATTTTACATCTATTTGATGGTTTATCTATGCAGACAGAAATTTCAAGTGAATTTAAAACAAAGAAACATTATACATCCCTAGTGGAATATATACTAAAGACAAAAATGAAAGTCAAGAACACTTAAATCATCCTGATGGCAATAATATTGGTATTATTATTTTGAAACTACACCATGTTCTTTCTATATGTATGTATACACATATAAGAGTAAACCAAAAATATAATTATATTATTGGATTAAGAAATAAGATTTTCAGTGTAAGGAAAAGTTAAAAAACACAACAAAGAAAACATTAAGTTTTCCAGAATAGCCTATATAGCTTCTCTCTTAAGGAAAATGAAGTATTTCTTATTACTGTCCATTAGAAAGACATTAAAAATATGTCAACCTATTAAAAATGAGTACCACTGGGGCACCTTGGTGGCTCAGTCCGTTAGGTGTCCAACTCTTTATTTCCGCTCAGATCGTGATCTTGTGGTCATGAGACTGAGCCCTGCATAAGGCTCCACGCTGGACATACAGCCTGCTTAGGATTCTTTTTCTTCCTCTCCCTTTGTCCCTCCACCCCTCCCTCTCTCCCTCAAAAAAAAAAAAAAAAAAAAAGTACCCCAAAGGCCCAAGTACAATCTCTCAATTTCATTTACCACAGGAAAAAAAAAATGGGGTTCTTTTCAGAAATGGGTAATGCCCAGTCTGGGCAGGACATGTACAAGATAAACCTGAAACACCTTATTATAGTTAAAAGAAAGGATGCCACAATACTAGGGTTATGACAAAGGGACTTCAGAACCAACTTGAGGTACTTCCATTGGCCAAAAATGGGACAATTTGAACACCACTGATTTATCTACTCTGTTCTTTCCTTCCTAGCATGTCTCCTCCACCTTCTTTCCCTTCTCCTTGATCTCCTTCCTATCCCACTGCTTCACCCTCTTGATACTGAACTCCCACGCTCTCAAAAAACTCTCCCCCTTTTCTTCCTATATTACTGACCATAACTGTCTCTCAATTTCCACCTAGAAATTTCACCAACTCATCAAGGGAAGATAATACTGTCACCTTTAAGCTTTAGTCCTATAAAGAATTTAGAAATACAGTTGAAGAATTCAGATTCTCCTAAATAAAGCCTGTCAAAGAAAAGTATGTATACATTTTTCTCAGATACTAGCATCTCTATCTCTATTTTATCCCTGCCACATTATATATGTTCCCCAAAGTAACCAGAACTATAACTGCAGTGCAACCATCTAATTCCCCAATGCAATCTGCCCTATTGGAACAACATTTGATCATATCCTATATTAGCATCTCTATTACCTTAAAGAACCCAATGGAAGCCTTTAACTGCATAGTGATACCAAGATTCTGAAGTTCCCTGACCCCAATATATATTTCTCTTAAGGCAATATTTCACCCCTGTAAATTTAACTGTAGCTCTCTTTAGCATATCTGTGAATATAATCAGCAACTGTTTGCTTTTTCTGAGGCCCAAACCCCACAGATACTAAAATTTACTGATTCTCTTTATTACTTCTCAAAATGTTATACTAATGATTTAAAGGACTTGGATTCTACAAAAAAATCTATACTTGCTCAACATGCAGATGACTTCATATTATATACTGCAAACCTATGAGAATCTCAAACATATTCCTTATTCCTCCTGACTAGATTAGTTGAAAAGAGAAAAAATGTTTTCAATTTTGTCAAGAAAAGGAATAATCAGCAAAAGGTCATTCATTTTCTTTGCCTGAATACAAACTATCTAAAACCTTCTTAGATCTTCAGCCAAGGTGCAACTGAGAGGATATTAAGACCGAATGACATTACTACAGACAGTGCTTAGTGAACTTTCTAAAACAGTTCAACTACCACTACCATGTAAACTAACTAAAACAAATACCTGTTTTTTCAGAAATATACACTGAAATATTTAAAGATGAAATGGACTGGTTTCAAAGTAATTTAGTAGAGTGAGGGTAAAGGAGATATAGATAAAACAAGGTTGACCATGTGTTGATAACTGTAAAGCTGGGTGATGGATTCCTGCAGAGTGGTTATACTTTCCTTTGTACTTCTATGTTTGAAATCTCCCACAAATGGGGGGAATGAAACAAAAACTGAAGAAGGAAGATGAGAAAATACTCAGAACAAAAACCTGCAGCAAAGTAGGAATAGAGAGAAGATATCTCAACATCATAAAGGTCATGTATGAAAGACCCACAGCTAATATCATCCTCAATGGGGAAAAACTGAGAGCTTTTCCTCTAAGGTCAGGAATAAGACAGGGATGTCCACTCTCACCACTGTTAAACATAGTACTGGAAGTCCTAGCATTAGCAATCAGACAACAAAAAGAAATAAAAGGCATCCTGGGGCATCTGAGTGGTTCAGTCGGTTAAGCATCTAGACTCCTGATTCTTGCTCAGGTCATGATCTCAGGATTGTGATACTGAGCCCCACATCAGGATCCATGCTGGGTGTGGAGTCTGCTTAGCAATCTCTCTCTCTCTCTCACTCCCTCTACCCTGCCCCACTATCTCCCTCACTAGTTAAAAAAAAAAGGAGGAAATAAAAGGCATCCAAATCAGCAAGGAACAATTCACATATAACATGATACTCTACATAGAAAACCCAAAGACTCCACCAAAATACTGCTAGAACTGATACACAAACTCAGCAAAGTCGCAGGATACAAAATCAACAGAGAAATCTGTCGCATTTTCTATACACCATAAATGAAGCAGCAGAAAGAGAAATCAAGGAATTGATTCCATTTGCAATTACACCAAAAACCGTAAGATACCTAAGAATAAGCCTAACCAAAGATGTAAAAGGTCTGTACTTTGAAAACTATAGAATATTTATGAAAGAAATTGAAGAGGACACAGAGAAATGGAAAAACATTCCATGCTCACAGACTAGAAGAATAAACATTGTTAAAATGTCTATACTACCCAAAGCATCTACATATTTAATGCAATCCCTATCAAAATACTACCAGCATTTTTCACAGAGCTAGAACAAAGAGTCCTAAAATTTATATGGAACCACAAACGACCCCCAATAGCCAAAGCAATCTTGAGAAAGAAAAGCAAAGCTGGAGGCATCATGATTCTGGACTTCAAGCTCTATTACAAAGCTGCAGTCATCAATACGGTATGGTACTGGCACAAAAATAAATACATAGATCAATGGAACAGAATAGAAAAGCCAGAAATGATATGGTCAACTAATCTTTGATAAAGGAGGAAAAAAATATCAGTGCAAACAAGATAGTCTCTTCAACATACTGGTGCTGGGAAAACTGGACAGCCACATGTGGAATGAAACTGGACCACTTTCTTACACCATACACAAAAATAAATTCAAAATGTATTAAAGACCTGAATGGGAGGCACAAAACCATCAAAATCCTAGAGAAGAACACAGGTAGCAACCTCTTTGACCTCAGCCATGGCAACTTATTGCTAGACATGTCTCCAGAGGCAAGGGAAACAAAAGCAAAAATGAACTATTGGGACTTCATCAAGATAAAAAGCTGCTTCTTCTTCTTTCTTCTTTTTTTTAAAGATTTTATTTATTTATTTGAGTGAGAGCAAAAGCGAGAGAGATCACAGAGAGAGAGGGAGAAGCAGACTCACTGCTAAGCAGGAAGTCCAATGCGGGGCTCGATTCCAGGACCCCAGGATCATGACCTGAGCCGAAGGCAGACGCTTAACTGACTGGCCGCCCAGGCACCCCAAGGTAAAAAGCTTCTGCACAGCTAAGGAAATAACAAAACTAAAAAGGGAACCTACACAATGGCAGAAGATATTTGCAAATGATATAGCTGATAAAGGGTTGGTATCCAAAATCTACAAAGAGCTTACCAAACTCAACACCCAAAAAACCCCAAATAATCCAGTTAAAAAATGGGCAGAAGCCATGACTAGACATTTTCCCGAAGAAGACATACAGATGGCTACAGACACATGGAAAGATGCTCAACATCACTCATTATCAGGGAAATACAAATCAAAATCACCATGAGATACCACCTCACCCTAATGGCTAAAATTAACAACTCAGGAAACAACAGATGATGAGAATGCAGAGAGGGGAATCCTGTTACACTGTTGGTGGGAATCCACACTGGAGCAGCCACTCTGAAAAACAGTACAGAGGATTCCTCAAAAAGTTAAAAATAGAGCTACCCTACCACCCAACAATTGCACTACTAGGTATCTATTCAAAGTGTACAAACGTAATGATTCAAAGTATATGTACCCTGTTGTTTACAGCAGCCATTATTAACAATAGCCAAGGTATGGAAAGAACCCAAATGTCCATCGCCTAATGAATGGATAAAAGAAAATGTGATGTAAATATACAACGGAGTATTACTCAGCCATCAAAAAGAATGAAACTTTGCCATCTGCAACAATGTGGATGGAGCTATTGTATTATGCTAAGCAAAATAAGTCAGTAAGAGAAAAACAAACACTGTATGATTGCACTAATATGTGGAACTTAAATAAAATAGATGAACATAGGCGAAGAGAATTAAAAAAAAGAAAGGGAGGCAAACTCTTAATTATACAGAAAAAAACTGAGGGTTGATAGAGGGGAGGTGGGCACAAGACGGGCTAACTGGGTGATGGGGATTAAGGAGGGCCCTTGCTGTGATGAGCCCTGGGTGTTAGATGTAAGTGATGAGTCACTAAATTCTACTCCTGAAACCAGTATTACACTGTATGTTAACTAACTGGAGTTTAAATAAAAACTTGAAATAAAAATAAATAAAATTTTTTTAAAAAGTAGGTAACTCCAAAAAAAAAAGAGAGAGAGAAAAAAATATTTAGAACATACAAAATTAAAGAGTTAAAATCTACCAAAAACTCATGAAATCAATTTAAGAAGATACACAATGTAAGAGATGGAGTAAAGGATATAAAAATTATCACAGAAGGAGAGTTAAGAAAAACAAATAAACATATTAAAGATAACCAACCTCAGCAGTCACCAGAGAAACTCAAAATTAAAGATATCATCTACTGCCCATCAAATACACAACAAAGTTAAAACAATGGTAATATCCAGCATTGTCAAGGGTTTGAGAAAATAGTCACCCTCATACACTTTAAGTGTAAATGTAAACTGGCACCATATTCCTTTGGAGAATATTCTATTAAATTTTAAAATGCCCATGTCCTTTGACCTTGAAATACTACTAACATTTTATCTATGTATTTGTAATAAGAGAATATGTTATTATATATTTAAGAAATATGATATTGACTATTGTATTCTTTGTAATAGTAAAAAAAAGTTTGAGAACATAAAACTTATTACATCCAAACAGTGGAATATTATGCAGCTGTTAAAAAAGAATGAGAGAGAGGTAGATTTCTATATGTAGACATGGGAAGATGTTTATGGTTACACTGGTAAGTATAAAGAACTAGAGGCAAAACAATAGGTATAGTGTCACCAATTTTTATGTTTAAGTGAAAAAAATGATGTATATAAAATTTGAAAATGCAGCAGAGAAATATTCTGGATATATCCCAAACTTCCAGCAACAGTTATCTATAAGAAGTAAAATGAGATGGTGACTAGAAAAAATGAAAGGAGACTTTTATTCTTTATATTTTTGTATCCTTTTTTAAATCACAAGTGTGCAACACTTTTGACATTAATGAATATATACATATATGTAAATCAAAGAATTAGCTAAATTATATCTCACATAATTCTGAATCCTAATTCTATAAAGGTGGCTTTGTCACTCAACTATTGGAGTGTTAAATGCCCAGAGAGTCTTATCTGCAACTAAATCTCAAGCATCAACCACAGCTTCTAGTTCACAGTAAATGTTTGATAAATATCTGCTGAATGAATGAATTAAAGTAGAAGTGGGGGCAGGCAGTGCCTGGGTGGCTCAATCAGTTAAGCATCCAGCTTTGGTTTCAGCTCAGGTCATGATCTCATGAGACATGAAATCAGCCTGGCATCTCTGTGTTCAGTGGGAGTCTGTGTCTCTCTCTCTCCCCCTTTCCTTTTGCCCCTCCCCCAATTCATGTGACTCTCCCTGGAATAAACAGAAAAATTAGAAAAGTAAAGTAGAAATGGGGAAACTGAATTAACAGACTTTTCTGTAAGAAAGCACAATCACTTTTAGAACAAGTATAATCTTCAAATCAGACCATAAATTATAATATTCATGTATCTTATAATAATAAACCACCAACCAGCTTTGTTTCCTCTCATCAACCTTAAAAGAGCTATAGAGGAAAAACACAAAAAAATAGATACTGCTTTTATTTTTTTTGTTTTTTAAGATTTTATTTGTGAGAGAGAACAAGCATGCAAACACACAAGCAGGGGAGCAGCAGGCAGGAGAAGCAGGTTCCCCACCGACCCAGGAACCTGATGCTAGGATTCATTCCAGGACCCTGGTATCATGACCTGAGATGAAGGCAGACGCTTAACCGAGTGAGCCAACCAGGCATCCTGATACTGTTTTTAAAAAGTAACTGAATCCCAAAGTGGCAATTAATATTTGCTAGAACCAAAAGAGCCAAAGCAAAGAGGCATGCAACTACTACGGAGTGCAATTATTAAAGGCCCAAGTTTTACCTACAACTTACTTTTCAATTAACTCCACTTTAAAGTGAATATACTTACTTTCTCTGTATTCTATTTCTGCTTCTTTACGCAGTTTTTTCTCTCTGGCCAGAGCTTCAGGGCTTCCCCAAACTTCCAAGGATCTGTGCACACATATATAGCCATCAACAATGGACAATTTTAATGACTTTATTGTAATTATATTTAAATCAAGATGAACTACAACTACATGAAAAGATTACAACAAAGCAGAAGGTCCTTTAAGAAAAATACATAGGACTTAAAAAATGTTTCTAAATTAACTCTAAATAGTAAGTAAATTCAACAACAAATTTTCTTATAAATTATCAAATACTTTTAGTTAACTAGTACATATTAGTAATTCACAAACAAGTTTGCAAAGATAAAAATATTCTGCTTTTAAAATAGATCATTTAAAAGCCTCTATCCAATATTGGTTTTTATTAATCGAAAATTTGCCTTGTACATTTATTCTAGAAGAAGCATGTTCTTACTTTGCCTCCACATCTGATCTCAAGTATACAGTAAAGGACTCAGTATCTTCATGAGGACTTCGTCGTCTGATTTTTCGAAGCTGGTCTAGATCACTGAAGAAAGAAACATGCTGAATTTATTCTGAAAAGGTTCACATAGTTTTTGTTCTTAGAAGGATTATTAGGGGTAGGTAAAAGCCACTACCTAGATCCTGATCTTTAAAGGCTATACAGATCAGTTTAAGGCTGGAAAGATCAGTTTAAATAAAGATGGCATTTTGTACATAAAATGTGGTCTAGAGACAGTGAAAAAATAAAAATTTTTCTTGATGCTCACTAAAAATACCATAACGTGATAGGCAGAGATGTAATTCCTTCATTAGTGTTTGTATTTTATCTGCTATGGACACCCCACTGCAATGTCTGATGTATGAAAAAAAGTAGAATTAGAGTAACATCCTCTACTTAAGAATTTAAATTAAAAATTTATAGTCATACTTGTTTATATCCAGATTAATACTAAGTGGTGATACTAAATGGTAATACTATTTACAGGTATCAAGTCATAAAGAGTGTCTGTCAATTCTATGTTATTTATTTTCCATTCTCAAAGTTTATGTATTCATCAACACTGCTAAACAGTCATTCTAAATTTTTTTTTAAAGATTTTATTCATTTATTTGACAGACAGAAATCACAAGTAGGCAGAGAGGCAAGCAGAGAAAGGGGGAGAAGCAGGCCCCCTGCTGAGCAGAGAGCCCGATGCGGGGTTCGATCCCAGGACCCTGGGATCATGACCTGAGCCAAAGGCAGAGGCTTTAACCCACTGAGCCACCCAGGCACCCCGACAGTCATTCTAAATTTGATCAAATTTCCTATGGAAATTTTAGAAGAGTTATGAAAAGGCCTATAAATAAAAAGCTGGTATAAGTTCCAAGAAATTAAACTTGGGAGATTATAGGGTGCCTGGCTGGCTCAGTCAATGGAGCATGCAACTCGATCTCGGGATTGTGGGTTTGAGCCCCACACTGGGTATGGAGATTACTTAAAAATAAAATCTTTAAAATAAATACAATACAATAAATCAACAACCAACCATCACATATTAGTATAAAGTTTGGACAAGGTATCAAAGATATGTATTCTAACCCCATGATGCTGACTTAGTAAATGAGCTGGGTCATCAGTGACGTCTTTACTATGTTTCCTGGCCTACAATGTGGAGCTAGCAACACCTAATCTACTTAATTCACAAAATTTTTGTGGGAACTAAATGAAATACTCTATGTGAAACAGAACATTGTTTTACATCAATCAATGGCACAACTGGTTGTTAATAGGTATGGAAGTTATAAAACTGATTATAAGAATTCTTATTTCTTGATAATATACCATAGAGGATGTGATGGGCGGGGTGGGGGTGGGGGAAGGGGCTAAATCTGATAACTAAATTGTCAAGAAATTTTCCATGTAATATGGCTTCCTTAGGTAAACATGGAAAGGAGGGGGAAATTTTTAATTTGTGACAAATATCTCAACAAATCTAAGATTATAAGAAAATTCATAACAAAAAGATATCAGAAAACAAAAATAATTTATGCTCAACAGAGTTGGAGTATGAACATAAATGTAACTAAATTACTCAACTCCACTAGCCAAAAAAAACCAACACGTTTTTTTAATTTTATTTTTTTCAACGTAAAACCCAACACTTTAAAAAGTTAAACATATAAATATGCAAATATCTTATTGATAAGATATCTTATATGCCACATATTAACATAATAATAAAACTCCTAAGGTTCTTATGTGATACAGATGTCTTGAAGAACCTGCTTCTTTGGGTTTAAGATACCAGGAAAGACTGGATTGCCCACACTGAAGCAGAATTCAGTTTCATAAACTAACAATTTTAACATTTTTTTAACTGAACAAAGTAGTTCTTCAATTTAGGAAGGAGTCATGGGAAAATTTCCACATGGATAGCAGCAAGTAACACATTCTAAGAAATACATGGTTATTTAGATGAGCTAGAACTACCACATTTTATAAAAAACAACTACTATACCTGGATTTAAGACAGAACTCATTTATTGCTCTGACTCCAGTGATGAAATTATTCTGAGTGTATTTTGGTCCATACTCCCTCTTCTTAAGGACTGCTTTGACTACATCCAAAAATACAAAAAAACATAAATGTGGACATTAGAAATCACATTAGAAGATGAACATATGCTGATACTTAAGAGGGCTCACTAATGAATTTCACAGAAAAACTGATGTTTTTCTTGATGCACTGAATGGCACCAGAAGAAAGTCTCCCAAGTGCAGATTAGGACAGAATTCCATTTGTAGCCGTCTAGATTTTATCTCCATAGTCATCTGTAACTGATGCCAAATGTCAACCCTCTGTCTAATGGATACCCTGTATAGGTATTCCTGGTCTGTTTACATTGTACTAGCACAGTATAAATGGTCTAGGGTCTAAAAAAAATAATAATAAATTGTCTAGGGTCTAAATGAAAAGGAGGTTTCAATAAAAAAAAAAATCACATGCTTGTTCAATGTTTTCTAAACTGCAGGGTAAAACCGACATTTTATAAAAAATTCAAATAAAAAGTGAATAAAGAGTACCACATATAATGAATAAGTACGTTTTGTGAAAGCTTTTGTTTCAGTTACATACAATAATGTATATATATATAGTAGGTCATTAATATTTCTTATGTGACTTGCAGTCAAAAAAGCCTAAAGCTGCTGGACTGTTTCACCATAGTTCATAAGAAAGCTAAAGTAAACATAAGAAATATTTTTATCAGTTAAAAATTATAGAATGTTTACTACAGATTCTAGGTAAAATACTACCTTCTACTAAACTATTTCCCTACTACCAAGTATCAAGTTGTTCATTAAAAAAACAAACAAACAAACAAAAAACAAAAAAAAACCCCAAAAAACAGAGATATCAATAACAAAGTATCAGTTTGGCATCAATTATAGTCTGTGAATCAAAAACTACACTCAATATAGGTCTATATTTATAAATCAGAAACTGAGACTTTCGATTGTATGACACAGATAAATAAAATAAGCAAATATCTGAAGAGCAGGGGCAAAACAACAGAAAGTCATCTGTTCCATTTCCAACTATTACCCTGTTGCTTCATATTCTATTCTCAGATATTAATTAACAAGTTTTCCATTGTACTTTGAAGTGGAAAGAGCAAATTAAGACTAAAATGATTCATCAATACAGTAGGTAAAAAAGACTCTTAAAATATCATATTAACTATTAAAATCGAATGCAAAAATAAGAAGAAGAACATTCCAAACATAAAGTTCAGTATAAAAATCAAAACTTTATTTGAAAAAAATATATCTAAGGAAGTTCAGGATTCTTTTTCCTGTGAGTTTCAAGTCTCTAAACTGGCTTACTCTAACAATCCTAAAATTCTATATCCAGATGAGCTCCTCTGGAGCAAATAATTATTCTTTCTTTTGAAAGACTGAGTGTTTTTTTAAATTACTTTTTAAAGATTTCTTCAAAGTATACAGAAATCCCTATTGGCCTGTCCTGGCCCAGGGTATTGACGATGGTGACAGCTATCAATGTTAATTATTCTTAACTGTCACTATATATACTACGGATCATTTTCAAGGTTATACTAGAAAAGAAATCCCATTTTTAGCACAGTCTTATAGGGGAGAAAACTGTGGCACAGGGAAAATGCCCAAGGCCATACAGTTAATACATCCTGGAACCATAAACTGAATCCACTTTTGTCTGATGTCAAAGCCATGGTGCTTCTAGTCACAGAGTTACTGCCCTTGTCAAACACGCTGGTTTGTAGACAGGAGACATAGTTCATTACAAAGAGCAGAGCTGCAAACAAGACTGCCTTCGTCACTCAGTTATTCCTAAAAAAGAAAGCTGGACAAGAATGTCCAAACTCTATTTGGATTTGAACGTGCTGGAACTGAAAGGTACTGGTCTGTTTAATCACATTACTTTTCTAAAAATGATAAAGCAATGGGTGACTTTTATTTGCCATTACTTCCTTCTTTGGGCTTTTGAAAAAATAATTACCACTAAATTTATAACCCAAATGCAAAGTGAACTTCAGTAGAAATTAGCTTATAAGCAGCAGTATAAATCTTTACAGCCAGTATATTTAAAGAAAAGTAAAAATAGGCAGGACACTCAGAATAATACAATTATACAGAGCTCTATATAAACTAATTTTGTATATTCAAAACACCATTATAATGAAAAATAGAACAAAATATATTTACCTCTTACTTGGAGAGGCTCTTGCTTAATAAGTGGAGCTTTCAGTTCAGCGCCTATATTTTCTGCTATAAAGTATATTAAAAAAGTAACAATAAGTAGTTGCTTTCATACAAACCTATGAACTTAATATTAGCTAACAATCTGGCAATGTATAAAAAAGATAATACATGACAGACCAAGTTGTATTTATCCTAAGAATTCAAGAGTAGTCAAACATTAGTAAACCTATCAATGCCCCTAATTAACAGACTGAAGAACAAAAACTATAGAATCATTTCAGGAGGTAAAGAAAAAGCATTCACTAATATTCAACACCCATGCAACTTTCAAACTTTTGAAAACTAACATAAGAAGGGATTTCCTTAAAAAATAAAACAAACCTCTAACAAACATACTCAATGGTGAAAAATTTAGATGCATTTCTTTAAAATAAGGAACAGGGTGCCTGGGTGGCTCTGCCTTCAGCTCGGGTCATGATCCTGGAGTCCCGGGATCAAGTCCCACATCGGGCTCCCAGCTCTGCAGGGAATCTGCTTCTCCCTCTGACCTTCTCCCTGTCTCATTCTCTCTCTCTCTCTCTCATATAAATAAATAAACAAACAAACAAAATCTTAAAATAAGGAACAAAACGATGACACATACTATAAATTCTTTTACTCAAAACTACTCTTGAGGGGCACGTAGAGTGGCTCAGTCAGTTACGCATCTGACTTTGGCTCAGGTCATGATCTCAGGGGCCTGGGATCAAGACCCATGCTGGGCTCCCTGCTTAGCGGGAGGCTGCTTGTCCCTCTCTCTCTCCCTCTACTCCTTCCCCTGCTTGTACTCTCTCTCTCAAATAAATAAATAAAATCTTGAGGGTAAAAAAACTATTGTAGAGATATTATTCAATGAGGAAAGGATGACTATCAAGTGGCTACTGGGACAACTGTACAACTCCCTCTCCCCAAAATAAATGAGTAATTAAATAAAAATTAAAAATTAAATATACCTCACCCCATAAATAGGCAATTTCAGGTAAAGATTTACATGTTAAGGCATTTACACACCTAACAGATAACTGAGAATACATTTATGGTACAAACAGATTTCTTAAATAAGAAAAAATGGGTATATTCTGCTAAATCAAAATTCAAAACTTCTGTCCATCAGAAGATCCTTTAAAGATTTTTTTTTTTAAGATTTTATTTATTTATTTGACAGAGAGAGATCACAAGTAGATGGAGAGGCAGGCAGAGAGAGAGAGAGAGGGAAACAGGCTCCCTGCTGAGCAGAGAGCCCGGTGTGGGACTCGATCCCAGGACCCTGAGATCATGACCCGAGCCGAAGGCAGCGGCTTAACCCACTGAGCCACCCAGGCGCCCCCTTTAAAGATTTTTTTAATTTATTTTTTTGACAGCCAGAGATCACAAGTAGAGAGAGAAGAGGAAGCAGGCTCCCTGCTGAGCAGAGAGCCCGATGCGGGGCTCGATTCCAGGACCCTGGGATCATGACCTGAGCCAAAGGCAGAGGCTTTTAACCCACTGAGCCACCCAGGCGCCCAAAAGATCATTTAAAAAAAGAAAAGAAAAGCTTCAAATTGGGAGAAGATATTTCTAATAAATAGAATCAACAAATGATAACTACCAATATTTAAGAATTACTCCAGATCAACAAGAAAAAAAATCTCATTAGAAAAACAGAGCAGAAGGCAGTAAGAAAGAAAGGAAATATAAGTAACAAATAAACATATGAAGAAATGGCTGCCTCATTATAGACAAAACCCAAACGAAACCACAAGAAGCCATTTTACAACCATCATTAGAAGAAAATGAAGAAATACATCAATATCTAATGTTGGCAAGGATATGGAGCAATGAGAATTCATGTACTGCTGGTAGGAATACAAAAAGACACAATTACCTTGCTAAACAAGTTGCCATTATCTGATATAGTTGAACACAAGCATAACCTGTGACCTAGCAAATTCTACTTCTAGGTCAATATATTTGCCTTAATAGAAAACTTGCACAAGAGTACAAGGAGAAAAGTATATGAGTATTTCAGAGCAGCACTGGTCTGTTGCTTCAAATTGGAAACAACCCAAATGTCTATAAGCATTGACAGTTATACCATGTTATAGTCATAGAATTTATAGTAGTGAATATTATAAATATAATAATGGCCATCTTTCTTTGAGCCTTTACTATATGACAACCACTATTTATTCTAAGCACTTTGCATTTATCAACTCATTTAATTCACACAACCCTCAAAAGTATGTACTCTAATTATCCCCATGAAAATGAATGAACCAGACACATCTACCATTAGGAAAATCTTTCCAAAATGTAATGAAAAAAGTAAAACACAAAAGCGTACACACAATAAGTTACCACACAATAAAGTAAAAAAAACAAGTTAAACAATACACGCAAATATTTAAATCTATGCCTTTTTTTGGAGCTCAACACAAAATTCAGGACAGTCACTTAGTTTTTTCTTGTTTTTGTTTTTTTTTTTAATTTCAAGATATTTTTAAATATAGATTTTATTTTTAAGTAATCTATACACCCAACATAGGGCTCGAACTTACAACCGTGAGATCAAGAGACTCAGGCTCCACCAACTGAGCCAGCCAGGTGCCCCTCAAAATACCTTTTTTTTTTTTTTTAAAGAAACTTATCAGGAAGACGGGCAGAGAGGGAGGGACAGGAAGAGGGAAAGAATCCTAAGAAGACTCCTCGTTGAGTGCAGAGCTCAACGCAGAGCCTGCCCGTAGGACCCTGAAATCATTACCTGAACCAGAACCAAGAGTAGGACGCCCAAATGACTGAGACAGCAAAGCACCCCAAGATACTTTATTTTGAAAACGGGTCACAACACTAAGCTTCTGGCCCATTCTGCCAAAACATAAGCTACAAATGCTTGCTCAGCAGCTGAGGGGCACTCTTTGGTAGCATGTATGAGAAGTGAATAAAAATCCTATAAAAACAAATATTCAATTAGTTTCCACAGGAACACAAATAACTGACTCCATCTCCCTAGTCTTCCATATTACTGCATCCATGCCAATCCTTCTTACAAAGACATTTCAAAATTAGCAGTAATTAATTTAAACTGTCCCTTCAAATCCCACAATTCAAGAGAGACTTGAAGTTAACAGCTACAGGAATGGCACCCACACGCGAATGCTAGCTGAAGGACAGGCAGCGGGGGAACGCATTGTCCTCCTCTCCCAGGCACAGGGGCTGACATCCTAGTCCTCTACTTAGGGCACAGGAAGTCGTGATTCTGGATTTGCTACATCAGTTGCCATGCTGGCCCCTACATCTTAGAGCACCCAACTGGCCTCTGGTACCCATCCAAAGTAGAAGCAGCAGCAACAGTGTGAACACCCACTTTTTCAAAGAGCGTCCAATCTCCCACATGCCTCTCGGGCCAATTACAGCTCTGAACAATGTGATCAAGGCCATCACATGTCAGTCCCAACACGCTAGCTGAATGGTACCTCACATCTGGTTTGGGTCTATTTTGCAGAAGGATCATAAAGGATCCAATTAAATGATCCATATACTCCAACATTCATGTAATACATAAAGTCTGGTTCACTCGACTCACCCTCATCATCAGAGCCTGTGTGATCCTTTAATATGAGTTTTTTTGGCAAAGATACTAACTGCGAGCACGATAGCTGTGCAATGTAGTATCTGCCAGGCTCATCTATGATTCTCAATCCCAAGTCTGACTCTGACAGGAAATACTTGTTCAGTGCTGGGTTTATAACTGATAAATTTGATGCTGAGTTCTTCAAATTTAAGCTTTCCATCCTCAGATCCAGGAGAGCCACCAATGATATCAAGCAGATACATGCTAAAGCCAACCTCAGCTCCCATGTGAAAGACACAGCAGGCATCAGAGATGGCCTGCACGAAGCTCTCAGGCTCAGTAGAGCCACTTCCCACGTAGGAGCTGACACCGATGGCATCAGTGTTTAGCTCTCTCACTCATTCCAAAAGAATCCTGCTGGTTTTGAGTGTGGCATCAAATTTAAAATTGAGACGGACTGTTTTGGAATCATCAGTGGCAATCTGCAAAACCCACTTTACTTCTGGATGTACCTTGGCAATTTTCATCAGTTTAACTTCACTAACAGAAGTCATCATCTGGGGCACGTGGGTGGCTCGGTGGGTTAAGCCTCTGCCTTCGGCTCGGGTCATGATCTCAGGGTCCGGGGATCGAAGCCTGCATCGGGCTCTCTGCTCAGCAAGGAGCCTGCTTCCCCCTCTCCCTCTGCCTGCCTCTCTGCCTACTTGTGATTTCTCTCTGTCAAATAAATAAATAATAATAATAAAAAATGAAGAAGTCATGATCTGGACTCCATTACTGGCAGCACAGTTAATCTGAGACACTTGTTTTTGCAAGGATCTGCACAGATCATCTCTCTGGAGGGACTCAGACTCTGCACCAATTCTTAGATTGGGTGGTAAATGCCCAGGTGTTGATTTTATTATGTTTTTATCTGATATTTTGTAATAAAAACCTCACCCTTAAAAAAATTTCTCTTTTTTCCTTTCACCCTCTCATGGATGTCACTCTAAATCACTCCTGTCTGTGTTTTCTGCATATTGTGGCAGATAAAAAGTCTACCTCAAAAGAACAACAACTGGATAGCATTTTTACTTTCTCTTTGGAAGGTTTTAAGTTGGGTTTTTTCTTGTTTTTGGTTTCGTTTTGAAATCTATGATTTTCTTTTAACTTATTCTGTTCAGTATTCAAAGTGTACTTTTGATCTGAAGATTGTTTTTGCCAAAATCTGAAAAATTCTTATCATCTCTTTATATACTTCTCCACCATTTCTCTATTCTCTCTGAAATGGCCTATTAAATGTAGCCGAGAGCTTTATGCCTTTCAAGTGCCTTTTCATTTTGTTTTTTAATCTTTTTGCTTCCCTATGCACACAAAGGGTAAATTCAATTTACTAATCCTCTACTTGACGACGACGACTATTTGATCTATTAAACTTTTGTTCTGGGGCGCCTGGGTGGCTCAGTGGATTAAGCCTCTGCCTTCAGCTCACGTCATG